ACATGTTATTGCAAACCTCGATAAGAAGTCAACCTTGATAACAAGTCTTATTTGATAATCCCCATGAAAGTCTTGTTATCAAGGTTCTAATGTAGTTTATTGTGGTCGAAATAAAACCAATAACACTACAATTAATTGCTCTTCGAATCTGTTGCGAATACAGCTTATGGTCCTAAAACGCATTTGGCAATGGTAAGGTTTCAAGATGCCCTTTCATGTTTACAATTTTGTATGACTGCAAGCCATTTATACATTTTTAATATGCTTCTTTTACTTTTTATTTTTTCGTAAACTGATACAGGGATTGCTTGCAAAATATGCCAAGTTACTTCCCCCATAATAACTGAAATGTTAAAGCGGGTCAATTGTTTGAGTGGTACAGTAGTTGTGATGGTTTGAGCTTAAACGACTTAGACTCTGGAAGTGAAAGCACGTTCAAATGTAGTAACCAATTAGAAATTAGAAATAACGAAACGAACAAAGGACTTAAATTTGTCAAATTAATGAGACTACCGTGTTGTTCAGTTTGTAGGACAGATGTTGAACACATGACGAAGTTTTTGCCCAGAGTAGTCTACAAGAACCACGGCTACGCTATTACTTACTAGTCTTACGCATTTGAATAGTATCCGAGAATGTATTTATCCAAAAACATACAATATGCATTATATTTTGGTACAGCCCCACTAAAGAGACTCAAACATTTTTTTTTCATGGAACAAAACGTGCATAATCGCTATAACTGCAATATTATTGATACAAATAAAGGTGTATATATTTAATTTAGATAGGCTATCGCAAGTAGACTTGTGAAGTCTGAAGACTGTTTTGTTGGCCGCTTGTACCGTATTTCATGCACAGATCACCTGTGCCCCGGACTCAGAATGTTATCAGACATCAACGAGAGGTTTTGCTGTGACTTTAAAAGGTTTTTGCATGTGACGATTCCCTTATAAATAGAGTATGGATGTTTAACATGTGGGCGATTACCAGTTGTGAGCTCATATCTACAACCAAGGGCCTATAGGCCTAACACATACAGCTAAAATAAGAGTCATCCATCAGTTTGGAGATCATCAATCAAACTCTCATCGGTGTCATTTGGGAAACCATGAATCAGTAGTTCAATATTAGACGACAATTTGGGTAAATACTATTGAAATGGTTTAGTGGATGTACAGATAAACTGTAATCATGGCTGTTGCAGTGAACTATTACACGCACATAACTACGTCAAGTTCAACTATCCATAATGACTTAATATTTGCTTGTTTACACTCCAAATATGCAGAGCTAGGCTAGAACACATAATAATTATCACCACGATCATTACTAGATAAACAAGCTAGAAATACTCCATTTTAGTAGTAAAACTAATAGCTCAATGCGTCGACAATTTTCATATTTTCTGCAGTACTGACAAAGAGCCCTTACTTGAGTTTTAAAACTGTCAGATAAAATCGGCAATCAACACGACTTTGAAAAAAACGACCAAAAATAAATCAGCACACATTACTTTTACCTTAAATCAGGCTACATGTCCTCCAGTATCCATGAACAATATTCACCTCCCTCAAGTAACGGAAATAAAATACTTGGGCATGCACTTAGATGCAAAGCTTAATTGGAAGGCACATATCTGGACTAAAAGACAGCATCTAAATTTAAAAACAACTAAACTTAATTGGCTTCTTGGATCTAAATCACAACTCAGTACACAAAATAAATTGTTACTGTACAAAACAGTTCTAAAACCAATTTGGACTTATGGTATTCTGCTTTGGGGATCAGCAAGTACCTCAAACATTGAAATTATTCAACGTTACCAATCAAAATTATTACGTAAAATTGTCAACGCTCCTTGGTTTGTTACCAACAGAACACTTCACAATGATCTTCAAATTCGAACAGTAAAAGAAGAAATTACAAAATCTAGTGAAAAATACATTATAAAATTGGAAAATCATTCAAATCATCTTGCACTTAATTTATTGGACAATCACAACACCATTTACAGACTGAAGCGACATACGATATTGGACCTACCATTCAGATTCGGCTAAGTGTTATCAAAATTCTCTTTGTTAGCTAGTGTTGACGGTGGTCAATTACTAGCTCATGTTCTTCAAGTTATTTTTGTATTACTATTTATATCATTTGCTTATTGTTCAACTTGAACAGATTGTAAATTAAATAAAGTTAAAAAAAAAAAAATTAATATAGGCTGGTTCACTGTGTTCTGTATCAGTTGTTACACTTGAATAAATAGTTCCTCCAGCGACAATTATTGAACCCTAGGTCCTGCACTTGCATGTGAACCTTGCAGTTTCGTAACGTCTCGCCTCACCTCTTATTGTTTATTTAAATTGAATGACACAATGCAAATGCTGTGATCAACCTTAGGCCTACTATGGATGGTTAAGTATTGAAATAGAAAGTAACATTGATTACTACAATATGTTAGCGTTTTATCACTAACAATCGATGGTTAAGCATAGAAATGAATGAGATGTTATGGTTGTCTCGTAGAAATGTACATTCAGATTCTTAGGAACATATCTTTGAACTATTGTAACATTCAAATACATAGAGAACGGTCGTCTCTGCCAATATTAATTAATATTGGCCACTAACAGTAATATCGAGATTAATCAGTCTGAAAAGTAATAACAGATCTTTGGACAGCTATTGACGATTGCACGATCACACAAGATTAATTTCCCCGGTAAGCTTCTGATGTTGTGTATGGATTATGTATAGGCCTATGGTTTGTAGATTTGTGAGAATGCCTAAAAAGGTTATTAATTGGACATGGCCAATGGATATTTCTGGAAAAAAAATTAAAATTTAATTAAATATACCGTCTTTATGGCTTTTGGATCTGGCACCAAGGTGTCACCTGAACATTTTAATATTTGTTAATTCATAATTCACCTATGATTTGTTATAACATATCTCATAGTTGTGTATTGGTATTGTAGCTCAGTGGATGTCAATTTTCCGCACCAATGAATACCTCGGTCGTCGCCTCCAGATGCCAAGTTTGATCAATTTCATCAAACGGTTCGCGACACCTCCATTTACCGGTTAATAGTTTTTCTTCAACAATCCGTGGAGCCAGAACTTCCTTGCCCTCTCCATCCTATAAACACTCGTTGCTTCAACAACAATAAGTAGAAGAGGGAAAATATAAAATAATGTGTAAACTGCACGTAGGTATGCAATAGGTTGACCTTTAATCTGGGTGACCCAACAGGTGAACTTAAGCTTAAACAGTCACTTACTCTATTATGAAAATATACAACAAAATAAATGTTTATACAAGTATATGTAACAATAAAATACAAAAATAAAATCTACTGCTTTTTGGATTTTAATTGCTAATGCATACGTTAATGCTGTACGAGGACTATAAGAGTAGTTTTAGCAATTAATTGGCATCACCAATTGTAGGAGGGTCCTGTGTAATTAGGTCACCCCTTCTTCCAATTTAACCATTCAGTTAATTCTAAATGTACATTTTATGGCAAAGGAAGGTTAAAAATATCATATCACCAAGTCTATATCTTCGATGTAAAACTAAATTATCAATACAAACTATTTATAATGGTCTATAAATTCCAAAACATTTTACAATAAATATCATCACTACGATCATACACGATCATACGATATATCATTTTTGAGATTTTTATTTAGAAACCTTGTTTTCCTAAATTATCCGATAGCATTGACATTTTGATGATTGAGAATATACATGCCAATTGCCAATGCCATCCATCGCTCATTAGAATTAGCTGGAACCAATCTTGAAAAAAAACCAGTTTTATGCTGCTTCTGATTGAGCTATTATCAAAATTCTATTTCTTTTTTAGTTTTTGCCACTGTAATATTTGCTGTGATATAATTGATCATAGTTTGCAATTAGCTATCTTTTTGGTTTAACTTGGTTCAAATGCTATGCACGATGGAAATAAGCACTTAACCGTGGCACGCTCTTGTCAGGTGTCAGAGGCTAGAGGCTCGATTCAGCACAAAACTGGCAAAATATGTACTTCAGCCCACTTTCTCGCCACTATGCTCTGCCTTGCAAGGGCCAATGCAGAAAAACCTTTATAACAATATTTGCTGTGTTTTATGTACAGAACTTGTATCAAAAGCTGATAGTAAATTACAAAATTGGGATAGTAATCTAAATGCCAAGATTACAATGGAGTGGAGTGTGCAGCGAGTTACTGCACTGGTGTAGGTGAGCCGGAATGATGTGTGAGAGCGCAGGGTTCGGTGTGTTATTATTCCATTGTCAGTCAATTGAATTAACAGATTTGATTGTTTCAACTGCTCCTGGGCGAAAGGGATCCTGTGATGAATCTGACAGCTTAAACTGCAGTGAAGCGGTCAGAGGAGATAAACCAGTTCTTTATATCGTTGATTTTATGAAAAAAATGATGTTTTACGCTCTTACAGATGTCTGCAAATTGATAAAACTACTCATCAATATCTAGTGTAGGCACTGGTTTATTTTTATACACCCCATCTATTTGTATGTTCACAATAATCAAACCACGTTTTTAAATTTGAAGTTTTCTGATGGTTTTATCCTGAGAAATGTCTAAAATCATATGGTTTCGAAGTGGACTATAATTGGTATTTTTTAAAGAGGCATAAGATATCATTGCTAGGTATACAGACAGAAATCACGCAACAATGTTACTCTCATTCAAACTAGGCCTATTACACATGTTACTGGCAAGTGTGAAAAAAAATAAAAAGGTTGAAACTTGAGTAACGGTATGAAAAGATTCTAAAATTGAAAAGCCAAATGCATCTTCGCAGAAGAGACATTCCTGAAAACAAAAAACTGAAAAATTAGGTGGTATTTGGTAATTACATTAATGGAATGGAAAATTGTGTAGCAGTGGAGCTACATTTTATCTTATGTGAATAGTTGTAAGATGTTTAAAACATAGAGTTCAGCGTTATTTTCTACTGTTTGACAGGATAGAATGCTGGAAGATGTGTGCAGGACACCTGGTTGTATTGGTCTGGCTCCTGGCTGTGACGTCACTGTTGGTACAAGCGACACAGAATACAACGCAGAACACTCTCAACTCTACACAGAATCAGAACCACACATGTACCCGCACAGAAACGTGAGTATAAACAATGCATAATCGACTCAACCCTACACAGAATCAGAATCACACATGAACCCGCACAGAAAAGTGAGTATAAAAAATGCATTATCAACTCAACGCAACACAGAATCAGAACTTCACATGTATCCGCACAGAAACATGGGTAAAAACAATGCATAATCAACTCAACCCTACAAAGAATCAGAACCACACATGTACCCCCTCAGAAACGTGAGTATAAACAATGCATAATCGACTCAACCCTACACAGAATCAGAATCACACGTGAACCCCCTCAGAAATGTGAGCATAAACAATGCATAATCGACTCAACCCTACACAGAATCAGAATCACACATGAACCCCCTCAGATATGTGAGTATAAACAATGCATAATCGACTCAACCCTACACAGAATCAGAATCACACATGAACCCCTCAGAAATGTGAGTATAAACAATGCATAATCAACTCAACCCTACACAGAATCAGAATCACACGTGAACCCCCTCAGAAACGTGAGAATAAACAATGAATAATCAACTCATAACCCTACACAGAATCAGAATCACACGTGAACCCCCTCAGAAATGTGAGTATAAACAATGCATAATTAACTCAACCCTACACAGAATCAGAATCACACGTGAACCCCCTCAGAAACAACAGTATAAACAATGCATAATCAACTCAATACCGGTACTACACAGAATCAGAACCACACATGTACCCGTACAGAAATGTGAGTCATATCTTGAAAACTGTTAGGCCTGTATTAACAATATTGGTCTTAAACGATAGGTAATTTAATGTACTTTAAAAATGATTATGGTTGTTCTCTATGAAAAAGTGATGCTTCAGGGTCAAAATCACACAAACGTAAAAATAGTGCAAAATTCCACCGATTTTTTAGCTTTTTGGAGGTGATCCGGAAGGTCGCCTAGGTTGAAAAGTTTGATTTAGCATCTCGGTACTATTACTAACAACATAAAAAAAAGAAACCTACTACCCCAATTCATGCAAGATAAAATGCGTTAGGTTACTGGATTAATAGTGCTAGATAAATTTTAACAGAAGAAAAATGAGCTTGTGATCAATGCAAAACAAAACAACAAACTATACTTTATTTACTTTTCAAACAATTTAACACATGACTATGAATATTTAAATACTAAGACAAAACAGTCTTTCAGAAATAAATAAAGAATTCAGTAGGGAATTCAAAAAATGTTGATTTAAATATAGATTGAAGTTTTAACCTCAACCAACGACCTACTGATCACGGCAAACTGAGTTTAAGATATATTTTGCAAAGTTCATTTTTGTATGACCAATGATTTTTGAGTAAAATTTCAATCCATGCACTTTAAAAGAAAACTGCTACTTTTGACAAAGATAACACAACAAAAATGAAACCTTAAAAACATTATTATACTTTTTTGTAAAAATAAGGTGTAAGTTTACCATTTACAAAAGATTGTTATGGATTCATAGTATCTCCATGAATGGTCCTTCATTACTTAATCTAACATATAAAGAAGCAAAGCCAGAAGAAGGTGGAAATATTTCTTTAACCAAGCATACGCCTTTATCGTCAAGCTCATTTTTTCTCTCCTAACCCAAATTTGTTTAGCTTTGTTTCAAGATGAGAAAGTTTTTCTCGCAACGAAGTATTTTCAGTTAATAGCTTATCCATTGCTTCTTTAATTCCATCAAGTGATTGACGTTCCATCTTCGTGAACCGTTCTTCAACAGAGTTATGCGATACCTTCATCTTGTTTTCTATCTGGCTGATTTCTTGCCGCAGTGAGCGAAACTCTCCCAAAACTTCATCGTAGGATATAGCTCCCTCCAAAACTGCACTCTGCCGCCGTAGTTTGCTGCACGGATTACATCTCCAGTGATCCTCTTGATTGTGAATCATTACAATCTCCGATGGAGTCATTTCAACACATTTGCCATGGAAAATCCCTTTGCAATCGATACACTCGATTTTTAAACTTGTACTTTTCAGAGTTTTTAAACATTTTTTACAGTCAGACATGTTTTGTTGTGAATGAAAAGTTTGAATATGGTTTACTGAGAAGAAAGAAAATGACAAATATAAATATAGTAACAATAAGTGTAGGTACTGTTAAGGATGCCACTGCAGTGACATTTAAATACATGTTTCAACTATTTACATTATTCAAGTTCAATTACAGTTAAGCGTGAATGGGTGTGGTTCAATTCCTGAGAATTTCACTTATGGAGATTAAATTTTACAGTTAATAATTGTTAACACATCGTACCTTTAAAATAATGGTTTGAAAATAATAGCTAAGAAACATTGATTTTAATTTTTGTAAATTAATTTAATAACAGAAAATATTTAATTTTTCAAGTTTAATAAAATAAAAGGGCCATATAAATATTTTTACATAAATAACTTTAGATAAATAAACAATAAAACATGAAGCATAATAGATTTAGTATGTACTACTGTACATATCTTACAGGAGCTTATAGCTGATCTTTTACAAAAAAATTGGTATCAGTTGATAGATCCTTATAGTTTTCCACATTTTTTTTGTAGATACCTAAGAAATAAGATATCATAAGCATACATTATCGACAATCTTTGATTATATTCAGATATTCAATAAAACACTGTAAAGGATGGGGGGATAGACAAATATTTTTATTTAGCATTGATGTAGAGACCAAGTACTAGAACATCTGTACGCTTGAGTTTTTGTTGGTGTTTGGTAACTGCCAGATGTAAAGTGGTTCTTGGTTTGCATCACTTCTGCACTGGTTAATATCTCCATCTCAAAGTAAACAATACGATGGGTGGAATGTAAACATGTCCTATAATACTAATATTATAGATGTGAAAGTTTCTTTACAATAAATTCATTTAAATGTATACATGACTTCTTATCTTTCATGGAATATGTTAATGGTCAACTTGTAAAGAGTTTGTAAAATTAATAGGACAAATACTGTATTAGATTTATTGAAGAAATTTATAGTACTGTACTCCTAAAAACTTAAAAAAAATACCGATTACTACTTACTGGTTTTATTTGAGCTTGACTTGGTTTGACACTGAATAGAATGTTCTTATCTTACTACTAATGAAAACACTATTATTTTTTTATGGGAACTTAATTTTACTAATTTTATTGTTTTAATTTCATCAAATCAACTGTTGAACAGAATGACATTAACAGCTGAAACAAAGTAAACATATTGTAGTTTTTTGTTATGGTAACCAAATTTAACATTTTTATTGGAAACCCAACTAAGATACTATGGATGACTTGGGCGATAGAAGCCCTAAGAAAAATTATTTTACTATCAGAACAGTAATATGCCTATATGACACTCCTAAGTAAAGTAGCTAAATTTGTACTATATATGTTTCTAATTTAATCCAATGCTTTTAGGATGTATGAGAGACAGACATATAAGGATGTGTCACGCGTAGTGACTTTGCTCGTCACTACTAGTAGCGGCTACTACTCGCACTCGCCAATAATTTTTTCGTCCCAGTCACACTAGGCGACTAGTAGTAGCGAGTACAGTGAGAAGCTTCTATTGTGCTTCTAGTGTTTATAGCATTGTCATCAGTAGGGATAAGCCAACAGGCCTTGTGACATCTCTTGTTGTTAGGTAAAGAGAACAGTGTGATGAGGACTGAGGAGTTTGCTTTATAAAGCAAAGAATAAGAAAACGGAAGTATGTATGGAACAACGATTTGTTGGTATCGGATTGAATAGTAAGGAGCCATAAGTTTGGTGCCTCTGCCACGCTTATGATATAACTAGTGAGTGAGGACACTCAATCGTACTACAATATTCAAATCGTACCCAAATTCAATTAGTTGCTTGAATGAGTTTTTTGGCTACCAGCGACTAATCGCTTCAGGAATAGAACATGTTCCATTATTTGCGCTACTGAATCTTTACTCGACGGCGAATGCTAGTCGCCGCTTCCTACTATGTCACACCTGGCGATTAGTAGCCGAGCAAAGTCGCTACATGTGACACGTTCTAGACATACTCACAACATTTTTTTTACATTAGTATAGACAAGCATAAAAACTATATCGCATGTTTTTACCATAAAACAGGCTACAGCTTTGACATTTGAATTGAATACTCCACTTTACAGTAGCGCATCCATATTCTGAGATCTAGAATTGAATAGTCAATACACAATTATCTATTTATAATAGAAATCTGTTAAATTCAGGAAAATTGTTTACATTTATAGTTTTGATTGCAAAAAAAATCTTTGCTACTATGGAGGGTTCTTTGTTTAACATATCTTGGAGATAATTGTGGAAATTGCTATAATGTGTCATAATACAACAAACAACTCATCAAAATACAGTAGAACTCCAATTATCCGAACTCCAATTAACCGAATCTCCAATTATCCGAATCGCTTATTTCAACAATTTTATAAACGTAAAGCTACAGTAATAAGTTTTGCAAAATATCAAAGAATTGTTATTAAACACATTTAGCCAATTTTGGACTTTGATGGAACACTATTGACTTAATAACATGTATAGAACACTTGTACTATGAGCATTGTAAACTGTAAAAATGTTCTGATTTAAATTATTATTAATTAAAAGTTCACTTACACTTAGTACCGAAAATGAGGATTTTTCTTTAAAATTCTCGGAATTCCGGTAAAACTCTGATTATCCAAATTTTTGTTTATCCGAATGGGGTCTGGTCCCTATTGGTTCGGATAATCGGAGTTCTACTGTAATTAAATATATTTGATAGTGTAAATTATAGGTATCATCAAATATTATCTACAAATATTACTTAAGTTAACCACAAAATTGTCTCAGGGCCAGTTTTAACACAACGCACGTTCCATATACCTGGAGATGAGTAGCTGTAGTGCATGCCTAATTTAGTATAGTAATCTGGTCAGTATGGTATCTTTTTCGTTGTTATAAACTGGACCCAGCTAGCCTTGATTGATGGGTTTTTAATATATGTTTCTGGCTGAACAAATAGCTTTCTTAGTCAATAGCAAACCTCAAGGCATCTATAACTATATTCTACACTCATCCACACACGGTTGAGATATTAAATGAATATTATGTTTCAGAGTGTCAGTAAGAGTAGCAGTGCCGCTACAGGAGCCTGCTACATTCCGCAGTTACACGTGGTGTCTCAAGGTACCTCCGCGCTGCTCCAAGTACACTGTCATCATGAGAGAACGTATCATCTACCAGGTAAAGTAGCCTAGGCCATAAACTGTGTAATGCCAACCGCGGCAACCGTTCTTTATTGGCTCCTAGGATAGTGAGTCCCATCCGATATCAGACGCAAAGATACACTCTTGTAGAAAGTATGAGAAGAGCTTATCCGCTCATCAACTACATTCATAACTATCCGACTCGTAGAGTATGTTGTTTTAAGTTCAAAACACCTTTGCAATATTGTTCTCCCAGTTTGAGGAGGATGAATTTTCCTCTACAGAATTGGTTTTTCTCATAGGAGTAACTCCAAGGTCTAAACCGCTTGTTGGTACCTGAATTGTCATTGTGTTTGGTTGAGACGCAGTTTCTAGCTAGGTGAGCTTGGACACATTGAATCCTGCTTGGTTAAATTGGTACCGACACTAAAAATAGTAACTCTTCAAGAATGAAATGGGGAATGACAGACATCAGCATATATAGCTGTTTTGCGAGGTCCCAGATTTTGAATTATGGCCTTTTTATGGTTCTTCTTGTTGGATTGTCTAGTATGAGCAAATGCAAACTTTAAGGACTTTAGCATTTTGAAGGAGATATATTTTACAGATTAATTAACACAAGTACCTATTAAGTATTAAGTAGCTAACTACTTAATATTTTTTCCAACTTAAACTATCGTTACCAGTAGCTATACACATATATAACGTATAATGGCCGTTTCAGTCATACAATAATCATATAATTATGTCGTGCCAGGAAAATGTCTACTCACAAAAGACAACGAATAAATTAATTTTTAACTTCAGTATTAAGAGTTGAAAATTTTAGTGAATATTGAGTATATATATTTATTGTAAATATTGCAAATAAACAAATACATTTTTGTTTTAAAGCACAAACAAATCTGGCTTAATAATAAGGTCACATGGTGCAGCAAGGGTGGCTAATATTATCCCTATGTATAAACTGAGTATAAAATTAAGTGGACACTTATTCACTTACATCGCCTGGTGCGATGACCTCGCTAGCTTATTATTCGATTGTCTTACGTAGGAACATCCTTGTTACCTTTCCTCTTAGAGGACCATAGAATTCATGTGTTTATGTTTGGCATACTTCAATTTATACTTTGTGTTTTCATAATAAATACTTTACCTCAATGTTTACGAGTTGTGGAGATAAATCTGACTTTTAGGTACTAAGGTAGACATCCCATCTATATGAACCAGCTGTAGCTAATCTTTCAATTAGCTCACATTGTTCAATTATACGCTCACTCACAGTGTCCTACTGTCACCACAACTTATTTTCCCTCTTAGATTTTGACTTAAAAGATGCTATAGTTTACAATAACATTACAGTAGGTGTTAATATATCTTCCTTCAGTTTCCCTTGGTGAACAATTTTATGTATACAACAGAAATTAGTAATTGGAATCTCAAAGCAGCACACTAATTCTGTCAGGGGCTCAATTAAAATAATGTTAATTTTCATGCTAAAGCTTCTAATATAAAATTATCTCATTTTAAAGCAACAGGATAAATTTAATGTTCTGTGAGAAGTTTTCAGTTACAAGGATTCAATACACACAATAAATGGTGACGGGTGAGTATTATTTTTTGATGTTTACATAAAAAAAAAACCAACTGAAAATCTCAAACAGATGATTTAAAAAATTCATTTTTGGTGATGATAAGCTTATGTTATTTGAGAAATTGTTGCACACTTTTTACCATCACGATTTTACAAAAAAAAAGTTATTTGTGTAACTAGTGAGCAAAGTGGCACTTTGCTGCACACGAGATAAATGTTTATCCGACACGCGCTGTGGTACAGGTCTTGCGTGGAGCTATACGCGCACCGACACTCCAGCCTACGCATTTTCACTGCCGTGGGACATAGGCTTTAACTAAGATCAACTGGTTCCTCAGCCAGGAACATTTGATAAAAAGCCAAACGATCAAGGGCAGCTTGGTCACATTTTAAACTTGACTTGATGATATATATTGATTGTCTACAGACAGAGGTGCGTAACCAGACAGTGCAGGAGTGTTGTCCAGGTCATGTTGCACTGTATGATACATGCATACCTCAGTGTGCAACATGCGACAACATGTTGTGCGACAAGAAGAAATGCTCCTGCAAACCTGGATTTGTCGGCACTCACTGCAATCAGAGTAAGCGCTACGTTCCCCTCCCTTGCAAGTACAACACAATATCAATTACTACCTATGATATCGACAGTCAAAGAAATAGATTCTATGGAATTTGGCAGTCATCTAATGTACTACTATATTAGTTTAATTAGAACAATACTTCTTTTTTCACTATCAAAAATAGTTTTTCGCAAAAGAAAAAAGCTCTTGTATGAGCTTGAACATTGAAAATAAAATCATTAGTTTGATTCCTAAGATATATGGGACTAACGTCTGATTGTTATAGATTTTAATGGAGACCTGCTATTTTGGTGATTACTTATATTGTATTTAAACAGACTTTTTCTCTTATACGCCATGCCGCAAGGATCCTCACTCCAAAATCTAAAAAAAAACTCTACAAAATTTTACACTAGCTCCAAATAACGTGGTGATATATATTTTTGTGTGTTTCAGCTTGTCAAACAGGCAAATGGGGAGAAAAGTGCTCAGAGGCTTGTGTGTGCAGGGTGGGGGAGGATTGTGATCCTGTGACTGGGAACTGTACCCCTTCCACCTCCACCACATCCACAACAACCGTACCAACACCTACAACCACAACAACCGTACAACCATCGACAACCACCACAACCGTAAAACTATCGACAACCACCACAACTACTATTCGGCGACCCACAACCACCTCATCTACCAATGTGTTCATCAATCTCACCCCGACAGAACAATCCTCTTCCGCTGAAGATTTGACAGAATTCAATGTGATCCGGGCAGTGGACAACGACATTGCGAGTGATGATGACTACGCAGTGTCTCCTACTGACAGTGCCATTGTGATCGAGCGCCCAGACATAGCTGAAGCTAACGCTCGATGGAGCGCTCTGAGCACTCACTCAAGTGTCACTGTAGGATCTGTGCTTGGACTGATCGCTTTGTTGGTGGTCATAGTCAGTATTATAGTGAAGTGTCGGGGGAAAAAACAATTTGACAGTGCCTCAACAATCGGTGATAAGAGCTCACTTCACCTGGTAGCAAAGAATAGTCACTATGCAGTGCCAGGTAAGGTTTGAAGTTACTTGGGTTATTTTTTTAATCTGATGATACTTGGAACTATTAAAGGATAAAAGAAAGAAAAAAAAGTTTAAGTTGCCTGTCTTTGGTATTCTTATTGCCAACGGACAGGTAACTTAAACCATTTAATTAAATTACTCAACTAGGCAAGTCATCCTGGGCTACTAAGTACCATGAAAGAAAATATTTTAGAATTACAATAATACAAATGAAAATATAGGACATTAGCTACCGATATCTCACTAATTTTACTTTCTTCTTTGCCTTTCAGACAACTTTTATGTGTTGTAAAGAAAAAGAAAGACATAAAATGCTTAGTTTGGAAATAATGTAGGCTATCTGACAAGAATCCTGGAACTTAGTGACTGTATTTGTTATCAAGAACAGAAATTGATTGAGACAAGTAGGCCTAGTAAAAAAAAAAAAATAAAAAAAATAAACAACACTCCATTGGAGCAAAACGATTAAAACTAAAAATGAACTTAGAACACAAGAACACACGTTGAGCAAATCATTGTTAATAAAAAATTATAAAAGTTAATACTGAATAGTGTACACCTGAAACTAATGCAACCGTTTTTAAGAGTTATATTAAAATCAAATGGCAATAAAAAAGTATCATTAGTGTAAACTCCATCTTGTACTGCAACACAAACCAATTCATACTAGAATCAGTTATTGTGACTAACTGAACTGAAATAGGAAAATACTGTTGAAGATACTTAAAGCAGATCAATCTAGAACCTAGAACAGGATGTTACTTGGGAATCCCTTGATACACTACATATCACAATGAACACAAAGAAACATAACAAATGAACAAAGAAACCATTATGATGTAAATTGTTGATATCATTAGAAATATTTGAACTAAATGTCACGGTATAAGGAATGTTTAAATATACATTAATAGTAATTAACTTATCAATATGTTACTTTATATCATCATTAAAAGTTACTTTGAATCCCTTTTTTTCAGGTCCTCCTCCATTTTCTTTCCTGAATGGCCTTCCGATAGATATAACCAGAGGTAAGAGGTACACTCAGGTGTTTATGGTAAAATGCATTATCAGAAAATATTTCTTGATTGACTAATACAAGATCAATACATTAATCCTAGTCTACATAAGGAATACACTATTTTCATGCTCCTTGTTGACTGTTGAGTTAATCTATTGTCTGACCCTTAACCAGTTACTTATTGAAAACATTGCTTTTTAAAATTTATCTGATGGACCTCTAGAGGGAAATTTATTATTAATTAAACAAGACTAGGGAAGTGTAAAACACAATGAGTGATATTAAATTAATTTAATATCTGCAATGCATACTTGGGAATAACGAATAGAAATTCTATCGAATAGCACTATTCATTAGTTTTTTTGGCTAACTTCTATTTTATTTGTTTGTTTTTAAATTAACTAACTAATAACTTCTATCAGTTACTTTTTACGGGACTAACTAATAACTTCTAACTAGTTAGAATTTTCAACTAACTTTCCCAATTATGCGGAAGCATCTCAAATACTGGTTTTTTGTTTCACGTGATCAGTGAGGGTTGCGTGCGGCCGTGAGAGGTCAGTGCCCTTGTAGACAAACAACGCGGGGGGTGGGGAAAGAGAAAGTCAAAGTCCAGTTGCTTTGGAATGCAGTGGGCCTGTGGAAGGGTAGTGACGGCCATTATCAACAACCCAAGCACTGATGGGTGGGATGGGGAAATGTTTGTTTGGTGATTGATATATCATCTCAAGTGTCAAAACATTGTCTTTAGTTGATGTTCATTATCTGACAAGTTTTATGTCATTTGTTTATGTTATAGTAATGTAAAATGTGACAATGTTTGATTAAAACACAAGTACCAGGGGACCGATCTTGCTCGAGGTGTTTGATTTGTTCAAGAGGTAAAAAATAGAGCTTATAAGCCTACAAATATTTTCAGTCTTACTACGATTAATTGAGTAGTAAAGTCAATTAGTTTTTGTTAGACATCCACGTATCCTCAATTTAGTATACAAAACTTTTTAATATGGACGATCAATCTATAAAATGTCCACAATAAGCTTCAATCAATATAAAACTCATGATACATAACATCTGTTATCTGACGACCGTTATTGCATTAAGTCACTGTGATCGTGGAACGTTGCAACAATAATTACGGGATGGTGTAATAACGCATCAATTCGTGCGGTGCATCGTCGAAAAATACAAATCTCCTTGGCCTTTCCTTTAGATTTTTAGTTCAATGTCAGTGTATATTGTTTTGCAGTAAAACACTTAATGTTTTTGAACAGTCGTAATTATCCCTTTGGTTAGTAAGACATCATACAATGCAAATGTATTATACAAGCAATATATTATAGTATATATTAGTAACCAAGATGTGACATTAAAAAAATACTTTAAAACAACTGCCCAACGAACAAATAATTTCTACTAAAACTAACTTTATTTTCTATCAGTTAGTTTTTCAACTAACTAATAACTTCTATCAGTTACTTTTTAAACTAACTAACTTATAACTTCTATCAGTTACTTTTTACGGGACTAACTTATAACTTCTAACTAGTTAGAATTTTTGACTAACTTTCCCAACTATGCGCAATGTTCATTGTGGCACTGATACTAGTTGATCTGTTGGAAATAAACTTAATTACAACTTTCCCAATCCTCTCAATTACAGAAGTGTGTGAAGACATGTACGACCATCCCCGCAGTATAAGGTGCCTCAACAACGAACCAGTGTATGACGAACTGAGATATTGATTCCGTTTCCACACTTCACTACAAAGTATTGTAAATAGACATAATTTAGAACTGTTATGTTAGGTTCATCCTCCTCTACTGCTGTTAACACTGGAATTTTGGAATATAAACATTTTCTTTTTCAAAAGTATATTTTTCACCCCTAACATTACATTCTGGTCCTACTGCATGGTTTATTGTACATGTTAATAAGTCTAGGATAAGGGTTCACAGTTAAGGTCGATTCACACATATCAGTCCAGTCACAGTTCCGTTACAGTCTAGTCACAGTTGAATCCGCAATTTCTCGGTCGATCTGTCAATTATTAAGTTTCAGTCACTCTTCCGTCACTTTATTTACAGTGTTGTTAAAGTCAAAAATGTTTAATTAATACACAATATTCTATCAAATTTTCATCATCCGTTTTGTTGGTTGTTACAAACATTACTTAAAATATAAACTCGATCATTTAAATAAAAAAGTACCATTTTCTAACCTCAAACACGTCTGTAAGGCATCCGAACAATCCAAAAATATCGGTGAAAAGAAATCTAAAATTGACTGACGGATGCCGGCAGAGCGACTGACGGAACAGCAACGGATGAGTGTGGATAGCGCAAAAGAAAATCCATTTAAGGATTTAAGAATATTTTTGTCAACTGTAACGTGCCTGAAGTGACTGGACTGTGACGTGTCGTAACTGATGTGTGTGAATCGACCTTTAGAAAGATATTGTTGAGGAAACTATAGGCTTGAACCAATCTAAGTTAAAATAGTCAAAAACTGCGAGGAAAATAACAAATATTAGTTTTCTAACTTTTAATGCTTTACTTAAAAACTTCAATTCTTATAAAGTTTCATTTTTCATTTAAAATTAAACCCTATGGATAAGCAGCAGAAAAACTTTCATACAAATTTAAATTATAATAGATTGATTTTTAGTTTCTTACAAAATAACAACTACAATGCTTTCCATAGCTTAAAGTAACCTTATCTTTCACAATAGTAGCCTATTAGAGGTTATTTATTTTGATTATGTTATTTACCACAACACAAATAATTTACAGAGAAATAAATTAAATATACAATAAATTAATGTACAAAAATAATCTTATTGTTTAATTTAGTTGATTTAATGTATCATACAGACATATTGATTTGTGTTACGTTAAGAGTTAGCTTGTTTCATCCACAAATAGATAAGGCACCAGTTTAGTAAGGGTTTTGTGCATCGACATATCAATAGTCAAGCATTCAACATGTACAGACAGGTATGCTGACTTTTTTTCAAAAGCTTTTAAAATCATCAACACGAGGCCTTTAAGACATGTAGCTTCTTTTTAACATGAAAAACCATTCTCATGAGTAATTTTGGTTGTAAAGTTATGAGATTCTTTTATTTTACAAACACTCAAAACTATAAATTCATTTGCAGTTACTAATGGAAAAATACAATAAAAACATGTTATTTAGGCCTATATCAAAAACTTTTGTTAATGAACAACATTTCTACAACCAATTTAAGCATTTCATTTTTTTATGAATGAAAAAAGGTGCTTTGTAAATGCAAAATTATGAAGTAAATGTTTCTGTCATTTCACACTACTCTAGCCCTCCGAGTGTTATGTGTCGAAAAATCAACACATAACACACTTTGTGTAGTGTTTTGTGTCGATTTTTCGACTCACAAACACTGTTTACAGCAAAGGCTCTATGACTGACAAAATCGGATTGAACTGGATCGAGTTAGGTATCGTTCTTTTCGTTAGATTCTAAGCTTTCTAAAGGTCTGTCTCTAAGCGCTGTATGTTCTCCGAGCCGATCGTAATTGTAGCAGACAGCTGACGTGCATATTTGTAAACAGGTTAGTTAACCTCGGACCGATGACTGATGTGTTTTATTATGTTTATCATGGTTTTAGAGTTAAAAATCAAAAGTAGTGATATACGTGGTGCATTATTAGAAGATTTAAGTGATTTTGAAGGGCTGGTTGATGATCCTGAAGAAGTAGGTAGTGATATTGATGTAAATTATCAGCCAGATTCCTAGCTATGGTTAGGCTATGCATTCTTAGCTAAACGCTATGTACCGAAATCTGTTTTTTGCCCATAACTTATTTATTTGCAGATCTACTTCCTTATATGATTATATATTTGTAATCCTCATAAAATTTAGTGGCTATTTTCAAATATTTATAGGCAATAAATAATAATAATAATTATTATAATAATTTATAATATTTTTATAATTTATACAACTTCATTGAGCGCAAACTTATTTTTTTTTGAAAATTTAAAAAAAAAATTTTTTTGTACCTAAAAAATTTTTTTGTAACAAATTTTCCTTATGTTTTATGTATAATATTGAAGCCCATGATTTTCCAAACAAAATGGTATATAGAACAGTAGAATTAACATTGTTTTTAAGCTTCTCAGATCCGTTTTAATAAAACCTTGCAAATGTGCAAAAAATAGGCAAACATTAAGGACAAAACTAGGGACCCTCGGAGGGCTAGAACTAAATTACCCATTCCGCAGCAAACCTGCAGACTAAAGGAATTTCCATTTACCTACCCCTATAAAAAAGTAATTTCTGGCCATATATGGCCATATTAAAATTCCATATATGTTTTTATAAAGCCATATATGGTTTTTTATGGCCATATATGGAAGCAGACATGGCCAGATATGGTTGTATCCATATATGGTGGTGGCCATATATGGTCATATATGTAGTCTATATATGGAATTATTGGTCATATATGGCCATACATGTTTTCTATATATGAAATGATCGTCCATATATGGCCATACATGTTTTCTATATATGAAATTATTGCCCATATATGGCCATAAATATCCTCCATATATGGAATTATGGTCTATATATGGCCATATATGACTCCCAGGTATGGAATTAAATTACTCATATATGGAATAATAATTTTCCATGTATGCTCATGTAAATGAGTTTTTGACAATAACTGGAATTATTATAAGGAATTGTTGCCACATTTGGGTTTTGTAACTGGACTCCCAAACACTTCTTATAAATATAATATTATAAATCTTAAAGTTTGTGAGTTTGTGTATTTTCTTGTTTCTCGCAAGCACAAACTACTGAACTGATTGAGTTGAAATGTGGTACAGTAGGGGGGGGGGGCAGATAATATAGGCATTTCTCCTTTAAAGTAATTAGTAGTAAAGTAATAAAGTATCCAGATTTGAACCCAGATGACAAAATCCTGTACATACATCTATTGTACAATTTTATTATAACACAACAAAATCTTAAAACTGACGTATAATTTTAAAATTGCGTAAGTGTAGTAGGCCTAAATAAGGAGAATATTATAATAATAATTAATTAATTGTACCTTTGCTATCAAATAGATTCTTCAAATGACATAAAATGTCTAAAATATTGTTTTACGAGACCAAATACAGCTTCTCTTATTCGTAATGGGTGTTGTTAAACCCTCTGATATGAAGCGGTTGTGGTGTAGTGGCTAAAGGGACGGACTCCCACGTTGGAGCCCCGGGTTCGAATCCCAGTCGGCTTCTTGAAAATTTTGTTTTGAAATTTTCGAATAAAAAATTTTTATTATGGTTTTAATGCATAGTTTATACCATTTAATGTGAAATAATGTTTAACTGTCATTTTTTTATTTAAAAATGTCCATATATGGGGGATTCCATATATGATCATATCTGGTTATATTTGGTCCAAAACCAAATATAACCAGATAAAAAAAATTTTATATGGCCATATATAAACTTTTTCATAAGGGTAGTTGGATTTGCATTAAAAGATTTCATAAAAAAATTCTCTATAACAATTAAACATACAAAAACACTTCTTAACCTTTTTGTTTTATTCTATGAGCTTTTCAAAATGTTTGAGATGTATTGGAAAGTTATATTTATTAAGGGTCAAAAATGAGGAAAACCAATCTTCCTCATAAAACCTTGTTTCCATAGTCAGATTATGTATTTTGTATATGGATTTGAACGATTGTGTATGGCAGGTAGGCCTAAATGAAATTGAATGGATTGTGTTTTTTGTCTGGGAACCTCAAAACAAAAAAGTAAATCAGTCCCTGGGCTAGGTCTAACCATGAGACCTACGGTAACAGCTTAATCCCTATATGGGGAATTCGCTAAAAATGAGTGCTTACAAACAATTTTAAACAAAACAACGTTTTTATTTGAAAGTAATCTTGATTTAGATATAATGTATTTTTTCAATTATTCTTTCAAAAATGAATACAAAATTAAGTTTATGCAAAAACATCAAAAGACCTATAGTGATTGTTACATTGAATGCAGCCTTTGGATATTTCACTGCAGTAATTTACATAATAAGTATATGCAGTAATAAAAATAAATATATAAAATAAATTGTAACTGAAATAATTATTGGTCAGATATCAAAGTAAATTAATATACAAGACAAAAGTAAAAATACAAAACAATACAATATGAGGCTCAAAAACAATGAATTGATTTGGCGGTATCTAAAACTAGTAGAAGAAGAAAAGTAATAAACAATGTTGAAAAAAATCTTCCAAACATTGAAGATTCATGGACCAAAGAAAATATTCATTTGTCCGATAACATTTTTATCTGACATAAGTACCAATTTAAGGTTTGTATAAAACCCCAACAATCAAAAATATTAAACAATATACTGGCGAATTATACACGATTAGTAGAATGAGATATAAAAAATATCTAAACATAGAAACAAATTTATTCACTCTTCAATTTGAGTGAAAACACTTAAAACGCAGTATAAATGCTTAAAATTAAAAAGAAGGACCCTGCATGAGTTGGTAAAGACTAGTTGAATGGAACCCGGCTACCAATCATTGAGGAAAGTCTCTTCTAGCGTGGTGTAGGAAGTCAGGTTGATTCCCAGTCTGCAACGAAGAACCAAAAACCATTAGAAAATATTTATAGTGATAATGTGTTGAAGCATAATATCGGAAATTCTGCATTACTGAATTGTTGATATTGATTTATTATTAATTATATCTAAGTGAAAAAGTGAATGATACATACATGTACATAACACAACAACATAAACCGTGGCAGCGATGAATAAAAAAATAAAAAAAAAACCATGATGAAAATGTTGTTTTTAGATCGGTGATGGGGATTGTTAAAAAATAATTGTAGTTTGGGGTTAAGGTTTGGATCTAAAGTAGACTCCCTCTTATCCAGACACCTTTTAACCGGACATCGGTTTAACCGGACTGCACTCGGCGGAAATTACATCTGTTTAACCGGACAATTTTTATCAGCACATCGGTTTAACCGGACTAGATCGGCTGGAAGTGTGCGGTACTGAAATGAAATGTTCTCGTGGGAAAAGATTTGAGAGCAGTGATCACGTGTCTAAATACAATGCTCTCCTAAATTTAAGTAAAATAGTATACAGTATGCATTTGAACGGCCCGTTTTAACGAGTATTTGGGGACGTCGGTATAACCGGAAAATCCATTATCTGGGCTGGCCTTGGTCCCAAGGAGTCCGGATAAGAGGGAGTCTACTGTAATGACATGCAATAGCACAACGATAATGCATGTACTGTAGCATTGTGGAAGGAACCTAACCTCAAAATTGTGCTTTATTGTGGTATTTTTTATGGTGTTTCCGGGTACTTCACCCCTGCCTTTTCCCTCCATTTGGCAATACTGAGAGCCAGCTAGCAACTATTATTGTTTAGTGCTGCCATTTGTTGGGTTCTTATAAAACTACGTCCACAACAACTGGGACACAGTAGGTATATGCCTCTCATTCGGATGAAACTAAATTCAAACGTTTTCAAGCACTCATTAGCACACATTAGCTGTTCGCGCCACCGGCAGTGGCTAGCCATCGCGCAACCGCATTCAACGTGTAAAAAAAAGAAAACGCAAATTTTTATAAAAAACAAATTCTGAAATAATTAATCTCATGTGAATTAAATTAAAACTTAACCAAAGGTGGTTTTGAAATTTGAGATTCAGTTTACGTTTAGACACATCCCTCACTACATTGCTAACAAGCTAAAGGTTCTAAGGTTTAAACTAAATGCATGTGATAACTTACTCTTTAAAGCCGTTGTTTAGTTCATCAACCTTGGAAGGATGGCAGACGATGCTTGTGCGTGAGATGGAAGGGTCAAACAATAATTTGACATATTTGGGCCCCATTCGACTGAGATCCTCCTTGGTAACCTTAGCGATCATACTCACCAGCCATCTGCCACAGCAAAACATTTAATATACACACTTTGTTGAAATTCACAGAAGCCAATCTAACAAAAAGTATTAAGTGAAAAATAAACGTGCGTGCTAGAATTTGTCATTAACCCACCACCCTACTGTCATTAAAAGAAGGAACTCCAAAAATACCTAATGTGAAACTTAAATCCACCCAAGCTGTGCAACGGAACCAGACTGACGATAAAAAAAAAATTACACCAAACCTGATTGAAGCAACAATCATCAGTGGTAAGTTTAAAGGAGAAATAGTCTTAATCCCAAAAATACCGATGATTTCATGTGATTTCATTCGAATTACCCTTTGAATTCAAGCAACTAAAATTTCCTTTGCGTCTTGCTTTTGCAATCACCATTATAAGGCAATCCCTGACTATTGCCAATTTAAATTTAGAAAATGCATTTTACACAGCTTTTACAATTTTGTTTTTACAATGCTTTTTACACGTGGACAGCTGTAGGCCTATGTTGCGTGCTCACGTGGTGGTAGTTACGCCTTTAAAACTTATTTATTTATACACATAATGAAAAAACAAAAACATTGTTTATCCACTGGCAATTAAGTAAAATAAATATTCTATTTTGGTTTTTGGTATACATTTTTGTTATTTATCGTAAAGAAGATATTACCATTTAAAATAATAGTTGTTAGCGCAGCAACGCGTGTCGGGTAACTGCTAGTAACTTGAAAAAGATATTTACTTTTTTTCAAAAGAGCACTGCTTTCAAAAAGATTAAATATAAAATAGCTTTTATTTTGGCAATGCAGATTTTCAGATAAGTAGGACTATATTTAAATTCAATATTTTTCAAATTAAAAATTGCTAAGATAAATTTTTACCTGTTGTAATTATGGTCGACATGTTTGAAGTAAGACAACAGCGACTGAGCCACTACATCCCCGATGCTCTTCTCTCTCTCAATGATCTCAAAGATGAGCGAGCTTTTCGCCGACTCAAACAGCGAGTCCTCCCATGTTACATCGTCTGCCAACTTTTCATCCTAGGAAGCAAACAGATTTTCATATTTGTAAATTTTTGTTTTTGTGAGATGACAACCTAATTGACATGGGGAGAAAATTGCAGACATTTTGGATGCATCCGGCAATTCACCCAGAAAAATCACTATTTAACAATCATTACATGAACATTTGTAATTGCAAAAAATACAAAATATGAGTGCAAAAAATAGAGGTGCAATAGACACCTTTTAATTACAGTTTGTTAGGGAGCTTGGTAGTCATGAACTGCCAACATCAGCTATTTGTTTTGTGCCATCCTAAAATGCTGTTATTGCTTGAATAGCAATAATACTGCTAAAATTGAGATAGAGAGTAAAAAAAGGCTACTACTTAGTATCTAGACAAAACTTAGTAGACTACAACTTAGTATCTTAGTAACTTAGTAGACTTTGTTAGTAGACTAGACAAAATCTGAAGACTTAATGGTTGGGGGTGGTTATTGTAGCTGAAATACTCACAAGGATGACTTTAGTTTTGTTGTAGGCACCGATGACATTGGTAGCTTTGTAGAAAGTGAGGTAGAGAAGTCCTTCGTTTGGTCGAGGGATCATGTTGTACGAGTAGGCAAACCCTTGGCCTCTGATCAGTCTCCACATTGGACCCTGCGACATGTTCAAAGAGACACTGATGAACAGGAACATATTTTGCAATTTTACTAACAATTTATGTTGAATAAACTATGTTGAATAAAATAAGACTGGTTGAGCAGCGCTGCATTTGAATCTTATTTACTGTAATTTGTCTTTTGCTATGCCATAATAAAAAAAAAAAAAAAAAAAAAAAAAAAAACTTACTGCATTATGCAAAAAAATATTTAGTTCTCACTAATTTTCAAACACCCCCACACTGATCCTACCTCGAGCTGTGTGAGATACTGCAGGAAGACCAGCAGGGGCGCCAGGTCAGGGTCTAGGAAGTCCCGTATTGCCGGTGCCGTGTGGCAGTAGTATGCCGACTCCACTGCGCCTATCCCAACCACACAGTTGTGTATCTTGGAGGCTGAGGAGTCCTGCAGTAGCTCCCAGTCAGAGGTGACTCGTAGTCTGTGGGAAAAAAAATCAGAGCTAACACCTCCATGGAAAACATCTTTAGTTTCTTAGTTCAAACAGTTTAAAAATGGAACCCGTAATGCTGGAGGAAATCTAGGAAGAATCTAGACATTTTTGGATGTTTCCAAGTAAAATATATTTCTGATCTTTAGGACGGGTTTACATTTTATTTGGAATCCGTCCAACTGCCTGCAATATCAATACCGCCACATCGCAAGTGACGATGAGAAATCTAAAGCCCTCCAAAATTGCGGATGACCCTTCACGATGGTTCTGCAAATCCAAGAGACAATGATGATGTCTGGATGTCTCCTTGACCACGGAAGATGTTCACAGTGGCACCATGATCATGGGAGTTGTTAATGATGGCTGTTTAATGTTGGAGGATGTTCACTAAAGGTGCTGTGATTGTGGGAGATGTTAAAAATGTCTCTAACACTGCAGAAGAGATTCACAGTTTTGCTGTGTTGCAGGAGCCATTAGTGATTCAACCGTGATCGTAGGACATGTGTACAATGGCAAAGAGATCACGGGACATATTAAAGATGGCACAGCAAATGCAGAATACCATGATGTCGTTGCTATAGCAGATGACGACCATGATTTAAAATGGATTTTTTTTCCATGATGGTCATGATCATGGATTTTAATTATGACCACATTATACAATCCCAGGATACAGGAGAAGACCACTATTTGTCGCTATTTACTTTGGGAGAAGATTATTTTGTCTTTGAAATTACAGGATATGTTATGGCCTTCCATGAAAACACAATAGTAATAACTGTACAACAATGACTAAAACAGATTGTGTTTGTTATTATTGTTATTTGCAAGGATTAAAAGTCAAGATTTTAAAAACAAACTAAAGTTAAACAAGAAGCAATTTGGTCCCGTTCCAGTTCTGGAAAAATCAGGAAGGAAATACGAATCATGTCTAAAACTAAAAGTACAGTCCCCTAATTCGACCTACTTGTGTCTGTGTGGAGAGTGTGTGTCTGGCAGGAGCTGTCCCCACAGTGAGCCAGGGTTGGGGAACCTCGCAGCCAGCGTGTCGAGGTTGGCTGCCAGGTGTACCACCATGTTGGATGGGTGAGTCACCATCTTGCGCACCTGGTCTATCTCAGCCACTACCCGGTCACACTCCTCGGGGGAGTTGAGTCTGTCCAGCAACTGTGATAGGAACTTGTGCTGTCGGAGCACACTGGCCGTGTGGTGGTTACTTTCTGAAACAACAACCAGTCTGAGTAAAAGCAATTACTTATTTTTTAGGTCTACTTGGATATTTGATTGGAAGTTAGATGTTTAAAGGATTATCGAATATCTTTCTAGTAGTGTTGGACGAGACTAGATTTTTCACTTTGAGACGAGACGAGACAAGATTTTTTTAATTCCCGCGGGACGGGATTTTTTTTGGGACGAGATGTAATGAAAAGTTAAATAAAAAAAATTAATATCTACTTTTTAAGTTCAGAAATATTTACAAGTTTTTAAAACTTGGCAAAAAATAGACAAAAATTTTTAAAATCGTTTATTAAAAAACATTAATAAAAACATCACATCAGAATATAAAAAAAATATTAATAAGGTCTAACTTATTAAAAATAACTCTTCGGCATAGGAAACATGGAGTTATCAGTTAGTATATAGTTCAACTTTGGAAAATATCAAAAACAACAGTATTACTAGTTAAGTATCAAGTAAAAATTTTTAAGTCTTGTGTTATTTTTAGAATGATTTTGGAGTGACTTATTTTGGCTATGTTTACAGTAGTAAAACATGTCTCACACTGCTTACACTAACAAAACTTTTCATTTGCTATGCAAAAAAAAATATAAAATGATTGAAGCAATATTTCCATGTAAAGCATAAATAATCTATAATATTAAAACGAAACAGTGTTTTTTTTATTTCACGATTCTGAATCAACCACTCGACGGATTTACATGATTTTTGTGTTGAAAGAAAGATAATTTTGAGAACTAGGGAATGTCAAAGCCATAATTTTAGTTTAGGGTCCCAGTTTTTTTGAAATTAAGTTTTAGTTTTTAAAATGTCTAGCAGCCGACGCTAAGATTCTAAACTAGCTTTTGGCATAAAATAATTTGCTTAACATAACAGCTGTAAACATTCAGCTTTTGTGTCACAAATTCAGCATTTGGATAAAAATGTAAAGACATACTTAGGGTTGACTTATTTATACTATGTGTAATACTAATCATTGATACGTTAAATTCTTCTGTAAGAGGATGACAGATTAATTTAATATACGTAGTAAAATACTAGGATGTTCAAATTATTTTTTAAAGCAATCTTTGTAATCTTCGATTTGTTTTAGAGCAATATAATTGGTTTTAACTAACAGCTGGTTAAATATAAACTATGGAACTATGAGGTTATTTTATTTTTGTCATTGATTATAGGAAATAAGTAAGATTAGTAGAGATAATTAGACCACAGTTTAAACCAAAATTAATTAAACCACAGTACAAATCGAGGCTCTGTACACGAGTCTTAATAAAAAAGGATAAATGCAAATTATTTTACTTCTCCACTTTTCAAGGAAAGATTAGAAAAATAACAAAGTTTACATGTTTTAATTCTTCATGGTAGCTTTTTGTTTAAAATTAATGTTTGTCTGCTTCAACTTTGTTTGGATTAGGCCCAGAAATATTGATGTCATAAAAAGAAGATCAAGAATAATCAGGAATCACGATTTTAAACTACCACCATAACCTCAGCCGGGTTTTATACAAAGATAAACAGATGGATGACATAGATTGAACACAACGTCAACCTAGGACCTAGGATACTGCAATTAGACAAACCATCCTTTTATGAAATCGTGTTCAGTTGTGGTTGCGTTGTAGCGCCGATATCAGCGCCCCTAAACGTGAAAATATCACTTTTATTTCAACTATGAATATATTGTAGTTTAAATGAACTAATATGGAAAGTTACGATGCACATTTATTCAATGAGGGTGGGTAATTATCAAGGATAGAACTGATAACGGTATGGATAATAAACATTGACAATTACGTCATTAGCTTTCCTAGCGTAGCGTGTTTACTTTTTATATTCCTGCTACATGTGACCAGTTCTTTTTTTCAAATGAATGTTATTTGAACCAAACAGCTGTTTCAAAACAAACTGTAATTGTTTTTACTTTTCTTTGTTTATGCTTATTTATTTAGCAATTGATGCAGTGAAATTGATATAAAGGATAGGTGTGACGATTAGTTTTGATGTTAGGACACCAAAGTTAAATTATGTGTCCTGTGAATTTTATTGGATACTATCGTTTAATTTTAGGTCGTTTCTATTCAGACCTACTGGAAATTGTGTATTATTGTGGTGACAATAATTATGGAAGAGGGAGGTATGCTATGGAAGGTGGTATCGTTGACTAGGTCTATACACTTCTCAATTGACTATTCCATTACTCTCTCTACTCTACTGTAGGCTACCGGTACTTATAATCAGTGTGCGTCTGTGCGAATCGGCTGCCAATCTCACTTCAACGCTTTTCACATAGTAAAAATTGCAGAATTGCTGTTTTATTGTAAAATTATCGGATTTAAAATGCATATCGTAGGACGCGTTGCAGAAAGTCAACAGTCCCGGAAGGTCAAATAATTTATACCTGTGCCGCTAGGTCAAAAACTACAATGTTTGCAGTGTCTGTAGATCAAAAATCCCAGTAAGTCAAATAGTACAGTCCGAGCTAAAAACGTGGTCTATGTTAAAGCAATTGACTTATTGGGAATTTGACCTAATGCAACAGCAGTTTTAATATAACGAAATAAGATAAAATATAAGTTCAGTTTCGCTGAGTCAACAGTGCCGGAAGGTCAAAAGTATAATCTGTTAAAAACAGCGATAGTCCTCTCGACGCATGACTTCAATAATTTCGTGTTTTGGTGTACTTAAAGTTGTGCTAAAATTTTGAAAATTGGCACAGAGCTTCTTGGTTAGTCCTACTCGATGACTATTTTGTTGGAACTTTAAACTATTTACCGATCTAATTAATAAAAATTGATATGTATGGTGAAATAGTTTTAAATCGTGATTTCTAGCATGAAAAAGTTAGCATGCGAGATTTTTTTTGTTTTTGGGTTAAGGAGGTTTTGTCTGTGACAAAGTTGTAGCCAAAAGTGTGATGGGTAAAATATATTTTTTTGAATTTTTACAATCAGTGGTTCAATAGATAACTTGGGTTGAAGAGGACGGCAAATTTAACATTTCGCAACGCATAGAAAGAACTACATCGTACGATGCGACTGCTGAGTGGACTTTTAATTTACAGTTCTAAGAACAAGAAAAAGATGAATATACAGATCACCAGTACATTCATATTATTTATAAAACATCTTTCTGTATTACCAGCTTACATTTTTCACTTATAAGAATACATCATAAACAGGGTGTTAAAAATAAGCAGGGAGATACTTTACCTAGTAATTCCTTGGGTCAAAATAAACAGAAAATGAAGGATAACATTTTTTCCAAAATCGTTTCGTTAACCAGATATCCGCCATTTTGTATTTTTTACATACAAATATTTATCTTTACACTTTTCCAACCGATGTTTATGAAACTTGGTATGTATGTAGGAGAGACCCATGTTATAAAAAAAGATTCATCTCGATTCACCCTAAAATTTCAAAATTTAACACTTAACTACAATATATAATACTTTTCTACACCACAATATTTACTTATCACCATAAATCTTTAATAAAATAAAACGTTCACATTTTTAAAATCCAAAGTAAATCAATGTAATCATATAATCAATATAAAAAAGTGCACTAGTACTTACTAGTGTCCAATAACAATTTGATGGATTTAACCAAAACCTTTTCTATTTAACTTATTTTCAGCTGTTAAATTTCAAACGATACGTTTTAGCTACATCATTAACATTATTATCATCATCATCGTTTGAGTTTGGGTTTGCGGCAATGTATTTTTATAATTAAAACCTTTAATTTGATACCTACCAAACTTGACCTCTGCTGCTATTAATTGACTGTATGGACTATTAATTAACAGCTGTGTCTAAGGATTATGTCGGCCTTAGTCACTAACAGGAAAACAAGATCGCTCTACTCATCACACACTCAACTCCATTCATACTTGGCTTAAAATGCTTACATTTGTATGGTCGCCATTTCAAAAACAGGTAAAATATTATTAAAATTATATAAGAATTTTGTCTTAGTCTTTGTGGTCTATCCCCCTTAAGGGATTAAACAGTGATAATAGCTTAAGACAGTAGATATTTATGGCTATTATATTATTGATATACCAAGTCTCACTACTTTATCTATATTGTTAAAAAAATATAGCCAATCCAGGACTTTTCAACCATACTGTATAACGCCAACACGAAATTTTTCCGTTGAACTCCTCCGAATTTCTTAGGTGATTTTGACCATTCATGTCTCATTAGAAAGAGCGTGTCACGTACATTTGCAAACCAACCTTACATTTTTAAATCCCTTGGGCTCAGCCCCAGCGGCTCATGTTATGAACCCATGTTATGCCTATGAAGAACATATTGATTTATTTATATTAGGATCAGCCCAGTTAATTGCTGTTATGCAATTCAAGGAAATAATGTAGGTTACATTATTAACATGTTACTGATTTGTTTCAAATACTATATTTACTATTTCTATTTGGGTTTGCAGGATAATTTAATCCATTTTACCAAACAATAAAATTAATGGACAAAGTACTATATTTCATGAGCTATCATTGAAAGGACCGATTGAAGTCCTCATCAACCAAAATAATGCCTACTAAAGCAATTAAAATTGAGACGAACATGTAATGCACAAAATCAGGTGGTTCTTAAGTATGTGAAAAAATGTATCGCTATTCAAAAACAGACGGAAAACTTGTAACCATATTCTTGACAACGGGTGTAACCATGTAACATGGCTACATTATCAATGACAAACGTGGACAACCTTATACGAGTGTGAGTACGTCCGAAAACAGAGTAAGTCCGAAAACAACTCTAAAAACCAATAAGCAATAAATTGCAAGAACCGTTGCTTATATCATTGGGTACGGTATACACGTATCCACTGACGTGTATACTCAATGCTTACATCGAACTGTTATATGTACATCGTGAGTTGTTTCATTTAGTTGTGTGTCCATTAGTATAGTAGTTTAGTTGACTCTTTTAAAGTCGGCGGAAATTGTGACTGTTATTACCCTTGAAATAATGTTTGTGAAGTACTTTGCAATCCTATCAATGCTTATAGAATCATACGATTACAATTTTCTGGTTAGAATATGTCGCATAGAGTGGTGACTAATGTATCTTTTTTGTTTGCTTGTGAAACAGGATCAACAGAGATTTTCCATCGACTTAAACAATACGATACTCCCAAATTGTTCATTGCAATAACAAAATATCACACAGTTTGATGAATATTTGTGTGTAAACCACATACAGTACACCTTTATTCTATCTATTTTACCTTTTATTTTTCCAAGACTTAATAGAAAATCACGCATTACGTGATCAGTGAAGAAAAGGCTGTATCCCATGTGTTTTATAGGTAAAGAAGACAAGGGCGCTCCTAGACATATATTTTGGGGGGGGGGGGGTCACCGGGGGCCTGGGGGGTATGGAATACCCCCCAAAAAGGAGGGGGTCTTGGGGTTCCCCCCAGGAAAAATATATAAATAAATAAATATAGGCTATACAGGGTGATCAACTCAAGGAGGCCACCATTGGGATATCGGAAACGGTAAAAATTAGAGAAAACTTAAAATGGAAGACATTCCTTTATTTTTTGTGGCAGTTTAAAATATGATTTTAGTCGTTTGAAATTCAGCCGCCATTTTCCAAAATGGCGGCCAAATTTGAAATTTATTATCGAACACCCTCACATATTATATTTTATCATGTTTTCGGACATAATAGGCAATTTTAAAACTTTTTTATCCTTGACATTTTTTCGATAAACCCACTCGTTTAGGAGTTACAGCCTATGGAAAAATGACTTCCGGTGTACATATTAAATCATGTAGCTCCTAAACAAGTAAGTTTAAAGCAAAAATACGAGGAGTAAAAAAGTCTTACAATTGCATCCACATTCCAAAAAGATCATAAAATTAATTAAAAATATAAATTATATTATTTAAAAAAATGGCGGCAAACTTGAAAAGTGGAAAACTTTTTATTTTATAGTCTTTAAGGAATGAAGATGCAATTCTAAGACTAATTTACTTTTTGCAATTTTGCTCTAAACTTACTCGTTTAGGAGCTACATGATGTAAAATGTACACCGGAAGTCATTTTTCCATAGGCTGTACTCCTAAACGAGTGGGTTTATCGAAAAAGTGTCAAGGCTAAAAAAGTTTTTAAATTGCATATTCTATCCGAAAACATGATAAAAAAACTGAAATCATATTTTTAACTGCCACAAAAAATAAAGGAATGTCCCCCATTTAATGTTTTCTCTAATTCTTACCGTTTCCGACTTCCCAATGGTGGCCTCCTTGAGTTGATCACCCTGTATATATGAATTTGAACGGATGGTGTTTTTGGCCTCTAGGGACCTCAAAACGAAAAATTAAATCGGTCCCGGGTCCAGGTGTTACCATAAGTACTACGGTAATAGCTTATTCCCTATATGGGAAATTCGCCAATAGAACAATATTACATTCAACCAGCTGTTGGTTAAAACAAATTATATGGGACACAAATACTGAATGTTTACAGCTGTTATGCTAAGCAAATTATATTGTACTAAAAGCTGGCTTAGAAGGTTAGCGTCGGCTGCTAGACTTAAAAAAAAATTAAAACTTAATTTCAAAAAAACTGGGACCTTTAATTATAATTATGGCTTTGACATTCCCTAGTTCTCAAAATTATCTTTCTTTCAACACAAAAATAATGAAAATCCGTCGACTGGTTGATTCAGAATGTGAAAAAACCATATTTACGTTTTAATAAAATATATGATAGTTTGGACAGGTTTCAACCCTTCCGAGGCGTAATACATTTACACAGTTTATGTGTAGACTACATTATAACTTATAAAATAGTTCTAAAATTAAATGGATCTCCTTTTACAAACGTATATAATAACCAGAAATTTTCAGATCGTCCTTGCGTGTATTTTATGCCACAAATTTTGACGAAAGGCTTTTCATTACATAAACTCATTACTTCATAACTTCATTACATAAGCAAGTTTTGTTGGTGTAGTAAGCGTTGCAGGAGGTCTACTTTAAACTGAATCGACGTTCACTTTTATTGCTTTTGATCTTCCGGCACTGTTGACTCAGCGAAACTGAACTTGTATTTTACCGTATTTCGTTATATTAAAACTGCTGTTGCATTAGGTCAAATTCCCAATAAGTCAATTGCTTTAACATAGACCACGTTTTTAGCTCGGACTGTACTATTTGACTTACTGGGACTTTTGATCTATAGACACTGCAAACATTGTAGTTTTTGACCTAGCGGCACAGGTATAAATTATTTGATCTTCCGGGACTGTTGACTTTCAGCAACATTCCCATATCGTATAGGCCTATGATGGAATAAAAACATATTTGGTCACACAACATTTGTTTACAAGATGATTTTTCACATTAATAACTGCAAGAAACTTTGTCTTTATATGTGTAAACTAGCTGATCTGAATTGTACACGGTTTTAACTAACTACTGAATTCCCGTACGTAGGACGGGCTAACACCTCGTCTTACTAATATTATAAATCTGAAAGTTTGTGAGTTTGTGTGTATGTTTGTGTGTGTGTTTGTTGCTCAATCACGCATAAACTACTGGACGGATTGGGCTGAAATTTGGCATGATGATAGCTCACATTCCCGATTAACATTAAAGCATATTCTTATCTCAAAAACCCTTTCGGGCTCCGCCCCAGTGGCTCTGTAGTTCCCCATGTTAATCTTATGATTTTTTATATTTAAAAGGAATTAATGAATCTTAACATCTGTTTCAATTAAACAAGTTGGTTCTGTTATATGATGTTCAATAGCATAAAAGTTACAAGGATTACCAACAGGGTGCAGCACTATTATTTTTTTTAAATTTATGACAACAGCTAATTTTTAACCAAAAGGTGAGTGAGCGTAGCGAACCAACTTCAACCTGGAGGCGAGTTAGCGTAGCGAACGAGCTAACCTGAAGGCAAGTGAGCGCAGCGAACGAGCTCCAACCTAAAGGTGAGTGAGCGTAGCGAATGAACTTCAACCAGGACGTGAATGAGCCATGCGAATACTTAGGAAGTTAAACGGGGCGAAGCCCGCGGGTACAGCTAGTTAAATATAAACGCCTTCGCAGTTTTTTTTTAATTTTAAAATTTTTATTTATTTAATTAACTTTTTTTTATTTAAAAATTTTTTTAATTTTTTAAAATTTAAAGTTTGCAATTTACGTTTTGCAAAAAAACTTAACAGTTTTTTAAAATTTGTAAATTTATTTTTTTTATTTAAATCTTTTTCAAAATTAAACTTTAAATTTTAATGTTTTTTATTTTAAATTTCTAAAATTTTTAAATTTTTTTAAAAAATTTGAGTTAAAAGTTTGCAATTTACGTTTTGCACAAATCTTCAGTTTTTTTTTTAAATTTTAAATTTATTTTTCTTAAATTTAAATTTTATTAAATTTTAAATGAAAATTTTGTAATTTAGGTTTCGCAAAAAAACATAGCAGTATACAAAATCTTATTTAAATTTTAAATTTAAAATTTTTTAAGCTTAAATTTTTAATTTTATTTAAAAAAAAATTAAATTAAAAGTTTGCAGTTTACGTTTTGTAAAAAAACTTGTATAGTTTTTAAAATTAAAATAAAAAAAAATTAAAATCATGTTAAAATTAAAATTTATTTAGGTCTATTTTAATTTTTTTTTAATTTACATTTTTTTTTTACTTTTATATTTTAAATTACAAGTTTGCAATTTACGATTCAAAGAAAACTTCAGTTTATAAACATTTTTCTTAAATTTAAAACTTTTAAAAAAGTTAAATTAAAATTGTTTTTAAATTTTCAATTAAAAGTTTGCAATACACTTTTTGCAAAAAAACTTGGCAGTAAAAAAAAAATTATTTAAAACAAATTTTTTTTTTATCTCGTCTCAAAAAATATCCCGTTACTATATTAATCCCAGCCGAAGCTTAGAGATAAAATAAATCTTGAAAAAATCTCGAATTTTCAGGTCTTGTCCATCACTACTTTCTAGTCTTGATGTATTTCCAAACTCAATAAGATAGTAGCCTATCCATTCTAGCATTAAAATAAAGAATTTAATACTGAAAAGAAAATGTAGGAAACATCACTGTCACTAACAGCATTGAAACTATGGGAGGCTTGACCTTAATACATAGGCTTCTGAAGCTATTATCACTAGAACCCTTAGTGGTTTTAACATCAACTGCTTCTTCAGTTGAAGATTGCTGCCTAATGTTTTGATTCCTATATTCCTACCCTGTGACAAACTCAACCCCTACTTTAAACAGATCTAAACTGACAATCCTTACTCCCAGCTGAGCCACTGAAAAATGCCTGAGCAAAAGTATGAGCAAAATGTACTCTCTGGATTTTATATTCAAATTAATAGCTTTCCCACGATTAGCAACACAGTATGAACCTAGTGTTTGAAAGTTTATCAAATCCACAAGAAAACAACTAGAGTACCTTTCAAACGCTTTGTATTTTCTTGAAAACCAAAGAAATGGGAAACTATTTCTAAAACATTTTACCGAAATCAGAGGAAAGCTTTGTAAAAAGACGATAATGCATAATAGTGATAATGCATAAAGACAAAGTGCAAGCAAACATACATTTGATTATAGATGAAATACCTTTGGTGTAGAGAAGACCTTTCATGAGTTCCCTGACGATGGTGTTGCCTTTCCTCTTGACTTGTGCCACATCGTTGACCATCTTGGCAGCAATGATCTTGAGTCTCTCAGCGTTGAGGTGAGTGTTGTACAGCAGCTCCTTCACCCACTCTATCCCTCTCTCATACTTGCTTGGCTCCAGCTTCATACAGAGCAGATGGTTACAAAACTACTTCTCAGTAAGAGACAGTCACAAAAAACCAAATACCATCCCCGCAGCAAACCTGCAGACTAAGTGAATTTCCTTCTACCTACTGGGGTGTGGGTAGTTGGTCAGGATAAGCCAACGGAATGTAATAGAGCAAACGACAAAACCAACATCTCATACAGTGATAAATATAATGTTCAGAAAACCATTTTCAATATTATAGATTACAATACTATTGACAAAGTAACTAATCTGTACTAGTGTGAGCCACTCCGCATTACCTGCAGCATGAGAGAGCCAGTCTGACAGTAAGGTCCACACTGGAAGCGTGACGTGGTCTCCAGTCCCAGTCTGGTGACAGCAGCTACAGTGTCTGCCTCTAGCTGAGCCACAACCTCCTCCCAGGGTACCAGGTGATCTCCCCGCTGGACCGGACACTCCAGCAACGCCTCAAACAGCAGCGGCAGGTACGGCCTCAGTGCTGACTGCACCTCCACTGTGTCCATCAGCACGAATATCTGCAGCAGTTGTCAAGTACACACCATGAAACTTACCACTCGCTGTCGTGAAGAAACCATATGTTGCATGCTGTGAAATTTTCCTATTCACCTGTATATCTTAAAATTGTTCAATAAGCTGCAGGATCTTTGTTCTTCAGACCTTTCAGTAATGTACTTTGATGCCCCATATGTACTATGCCTTTCTATCATTGAATTTACCCTCACTTTCCTTTTAAACAGGTTAAAGGAGTTTTGTAGTCTAATTAACCTCTTTCAAGTTACTTTTGATACAATTACAAATTCCGCTAGAACCGATTCCTCTTACATCATCAAGACTAGGCCTACTTGTCATGTGTAGCCAAGTGTTCTTAAAAAGCAACTGTGAGTAGGCTACACCTGGCTAGTTTACAATTTGGTTTGATCAAAAGCCGGTGAATGGCATGGAATGTTGCCAAGAAGCCAGCTTTTTCCAGTATTTTTTAATAAACACGAGTGCATCAAGGTAAACTGGGCTAGGCTATGTGCTGAAGGTAAAAAGTTACTTTGCAGCTTGTAAACAAGATACGTGTACTGGATACTTAAGGTTGAGAGTAATTTGGGATTGTTTATTCATACGAGAGTTATCCAATGAAGGTCTCCTATGAGCTCCAGTCAGGACCAAGCCAGTTTGTGCAATCTGACAACAGTGATGTGTTCTTTACTTCCCTCACTACTAATCTAACAGTAAGTTATTCGTTTGTCAGACAAGCTTAGCTAAGAAAAAGTTCCATAGAAATTAGAATTAAAACTGCATGCATGCATAGAAAAATTCCTGTAGGCTACCGGACGGACAGTTATACACATAAAACTTGTGCAGTGCTTCAATTTCTACAGTTATGAGGGTGAGTAAATTCTGATGTCACAAAAGTATCACCTATTTAAATAAAAGTAGAACTTGATTTAAATTTGTCAAGAAAAATTTCAAATACAAGTTTGCAATGCAAAAGACTTAACACTATATTTTTACAGACAAATGAACAAATTTATTTTAGTTTCATTGAGTAATGTGTCACTCACATAAACAAAGTTGGTGGTGATGTGATCCACTTGTATGTATACGGGGACTTGACTAGTATCAAACATGGGATGAGGCTGTTTGGAGTCTGTGGTGAAGGTCTGTATCCTGTGGAACTGTATTGACTCAATACTGGGAATGTTGACTGACTTGAGCATACCAGCTGGTGGAGGGATCTAAAGGGAAACACCCAAACAATCATCAACAATTATCAGAAAACACAAACATTTAACTAGAAGCTGACGATTCGGCTAGATAACAGATAACTATCATTAGAGCAGTTAATTGGAAAAAGTGCCGGGCAGTCAAACATTGAAGACCAATTTGTAGGGTTGGTTCTCAAATATTTCTTTATGAGTTTTAGTTAATCATTTCTTCACTAATATGGATATAGTTTGGTAAGTAAGGTATATTTAAAAAATAGAACCGAACCGGAACGATCCTTCACTAAAACAAACACACAAACTATCAGCTTTATAACACAGTATACTCTTGGTAATTCAAAATTGGTGGACCAGGCAAATAAATTTGAATTATTATTAAGAGTTTTAAATTATCAGAAAGTTTGATTTATCGGGAGGAAAATAAACCATTTGAATTCAAAAGAGTTCATTTTTTTAACTGTATTATGTAAGGTACATAAACTAAAATGGAATGGGAATGTTAAGCTCCTTTCCATAGCTTTGGTCTTTTTTAAATCAAACCTCCTACAGGCATGTTTCGACGTGGTTGTCGACCACTAACTAAACCACATAACTAAACACTCTTTTAGTCTAAAATATTCACTTATTGTGGTTCTTTTTCTTCCGGCATTCAGTCAAAACAATTTTGCCTTTTTTTCGTAGACAACGTATTTGGAGGGATTTGAAAAGTATTTCAACTTCTGATTTTAGTCTATCACTAGACTAACTATTTTAACTGCTGCAATCCCTTTTCCGCAAACGAAAGGGACTTGTATTTAAGCTTAGTTTCCATGACATTAAAACAAATTTAACTTCGGCCACGGTTCCACACAACAAACAGGTTAAACAAAAAGATCACAGATAACTAAAAAAAACTTGTTTTAACAGGATGAATAGTTTCCTGTGATGACAGGGAAAAAACTGCAAATCAGCCTACCCTCTGCTTGGACTTCAAAATATCGAGTGTATCAAGATGCATTGTAAAACTTCGAAATATTAATAATTCCTCTACGGACTGAGCTTTTATTTTGAATTATCGAAAGTTTCGATTGATCAAGTGCTTGAATTAACGAGAGTAGACTGTATTAGTATGATAGTTGATGTGCAGATTCTATATTGTATATTAAGTTGCCCTTTTAGTTTAGCTTCACAAGTTTGTTTATGGGAAAGAGGTATTTATACAACACTCGATTATTGGCTCATATGAACTAATCTTTTTTCCTCATTTAAGCGAGTATTAATAGGATCAATCATGTACATATATTAAGTTCCTTACCTCATTCTGTTCCATGGCCTGAGTCAACATCAATTCCTTTTCCCTGTAAATCAGAAAAAGTGAATTTAGTAATAAAATAAGAAACAGGCTAAATAAATCATTTTTGAAGTCAAACGAATATCTTATCATTAATTTTTAAGAACTACCTATCAATGAAAACTGTAATAATCAAACCCAGTCAAATTATAATTATATTTAAATATAATTATAAAATTATATTTCAATATAATTATAAAATTATATTTCAATATAATTATAAAATTATATTTAAATATAATTATAAAATTATATTTGACTGGGTTTGATTATTACAGAATATCAGACTTGGGAGTAACGATTACAATAACGTAACGATTACTGTAATCGGTACCTTTTTTAGTAAGGTCTCTAACTCACCCGTTACATCTTAAACCAAGTAACTTGTAATTGGTAATCGTTACAAAACATTAGTAACGTTTAATAGTAACGGAAAAAAAGTTACTTTCGTTACATTGTATTGATAAAAATTATTTGCAAATTAAAAATTTAAATTCAGTACATCGTTTGGAGACAAAGGTGATTTTTTATGACCATGAAAAAAATCCTTGGATTATGGGTGAGCTTAGAAATATAGTCGTGACTTATGCTGCTTTTTTACAACCGAGGTGCGCAGCAATAAAGCACGGCGCACTGCTAGTTTTTATAACGTTATGACACAATTCTATGACAAAATTCAATGAGCATGGAGAAAATTCTTTCATGAACAATAAGAAACGTATACAATTACAAATTACGTTCCAGACAATCCTAGAATAAGGGAATAATGTGTGAAAGCGATTCTGCTCTCACACATTATTTTTACTATGATCTATCTATTAAAAGGGCCATTAATAGTTGCCACTTAAACACTACAAACTAGGGTTCTGGATACAACCACCACACAGACAGAAACTTATAACCAAGAACTAACATGTCAGCCATCATCAGTAGACCTACAGTTTACCGTAACAGCTATCAAACACTACAGATTGGCAGATGTCTGTTCTTGTTCTAACATTTTTAACAGTAAACTATCGTTTTATATTTCTTACTTGAGCCCGTCCACCCCCAGTAGGTCCCGTTGACTTTGCACTCTCAGTTTCTCCTCCCTCGCCATCTCCTGTTGCTCATCCACACTAGGCACTCCCCTCACAGTCACACTGGCCCCTGTCAGCAAGTACTGCTTGATCAAGGACGTCCAGAATGTCATGTCTTCCTCCTGCATCTTGTACAGATCTGCCACTTGGTTCAGTCTCTGGTCCAGCTAAATTGGAACATCTTTGTTATTGTGATTGTTTATAAAATATTGTTTTATGTTGAACTAGTCTACCTTTTGCTCAAATTCAAGAAATTTTTGCAAATTTGAAATACAGGCAATATTTTAAAACGAATAACAGTAATAATTCCAGATGACTGTAAAAGAGTCGACTCAAAGATTATGGAAATACTCACGATGTACATAACAGATCGATATAATCAAAATTTCTTGTAAATATCTTATAATTTTTCAAAAGCTGATTTTGTTTTTAGTGTTTTCTACAAATATTTCCCACTCATAACCACATTATGTTGTCCATAATAACAAAAACGATTATAAATAATAGGATTTGGATAGGGACATAGCTAATAGTCTATGTCTCAATGATCAAAAGACTCTTGAAATTCTTTTTACTTCTAGCCGTCTCAATGCTGCTAAAGCAAACCCTGATAAGTTTTTGGGAGTTCATCTTGAGCCTGGGTTGGGATGGGAAACTCACATTGACACTGTTGTTAACAGAATATGTAGAGGTATTTTTCTGCTTAGAGTTTTGAGTATGATTGTTTCCATTGATGCACTTGTAACTGTTTACCATGCTCACATATTTAGTCATTTATCCTATGGCACTATTCTCTGGGGTAACCACTCCTCCGTTGTTAAATTACTAATCCTGCAAAAGAGAGCTGTACGTATAATGTGTGGAACTAGGCCTAGAGCACACTGCAAGCCTTTGTTTGTTCAGTTAAAACTACTCACTCTTCCAGCTATTTATGTTTTGGACTGCTTAATTTATGTGAAAAAGAATGTCCACAATTTATTGTTATGTGAAAATCTACATAATTACTCTACTAGGCAAAAGAATCACATATTTATTAAGTACAATTATTATTCCAGGACCTTAAAAAGTTTTGAGGTAACTGCACTTAAGCTGTACAATGTTCTTCCTACTGCAATCAAAGACCTGCCACTAAACAAGTTTAAAGACAGGATTAAACACTTTTTGGTTAACAGCCCTATTTATAACACTTGTGAATTTTTTGATCTTGACTATTCATTATTGTAGACCATTGCTGACTGTGTAGCCATTTTATGTAAATGTACCTTGTAATTTATGCATGTATGTGATGCATGATGCAGACGTAATTTATTAATTTATTTATTTCTTGTATGCTACTTGACTTTTATTGATGTGTGCGTTTTTGCAACATTTTGTAATTATTTTTTTTTTTTTTGTGACGAGACTGATAGCATGTAATTGTTGAATGGTCAATAAATTCTTGATTCTTGATTCTTGATTCTTGAATAATAAAAAAAAAACATTAATCTATTTCTTGTACTTGGTGGTGTTCTATGACTTTCCTATTTTTCCATATTTTGCAAATCAACTCTTTCAATGATTGCTCAAGAAATGCAGCACAGAGTTAATTCAGTTTTTTTTAGTATATCAAATTGTCCAGGCTTTCTCGCTTTTTTCCATTGTAATATTTACACCAACCCAAATAGCCTAGTATTTCATTCCAACCTAGTCAGTAAATGTTTGTACCTCACGTCTCCTTAAATTGCATCTAAAATATTAACAGCAATTAAATTATCCAGCTAATCATAATGTAAACAAATATGTTCTCCATAAGGATAACAGGGGAACTTTAAAAGTCACTGGGGCAGAGCCCGAGGGACTAGTCAGTTTGCAAATATAAACGCCTAGACGAACATTTTGGTATAGGCCTATAATACAGGGGGTTTAAATCTTAAAACAAAAATGCCTTATTGTTCACAAAGTCTCATGTAGCGTATTAATAATATAGCATTGAAAAAAAAAACCCAACAATCCTTCCACACCCTTCCTGGACACTTGGCCTAGAATGGGAAAAAATAGTAAAATAAATACCCCCACCGCAGAAAACCTGCAGACTAAGTGAATTTCTATTTACCAGACTGGATTCCTACTTAAATTTTCCTTTAAAATTGTAAGATTTATTTCCTATTTATTTGCCAAATTTGATTAAAATATATCCACAAACAAGCAAGCTGCAACAGTTAATTAATTCTCCATAAGGATAACATTAGAATTTTAAATTTACAATTTTTTTATTTATCTCCGTTACCGTTAGGCATACAACAATGCTTCAACGTACAAAATTGTTATTCAAAGGTTTATTGCGGACATTTTCCATCACGATGGTAAAAAAAAAACAATATAACAATATGCTTTGTAAAAAATTATTTCTTTTGTTCCAAGCTCTACAAAATGTATTGGAAAGAAATGGTGAAATTTTGTGTTTGTAGCGTCAAAAATGGGAAAAACCAATTTTTACCCCATAAAACCCCATTCCCATAGTCCGATCATGAATAAACGTAGGTTTACACGTTTGTACCAAATTTCATCAAAATCGGAATGTATATAAGATTGAACGGTTTTTGGCCTCTGAGGACCTCAAAACAAAAAAGTAAACCGGTCCTGGGTCTAGGTCTCACCATGAGACCTATAGTAATAGCTTATATTCCCTATTTGGGAAATTTTCTAAAAGTGGATTGGAAATAATTAGTTGTATTTTTTTAAACTAAAAATGAAACTGTTGGGATATATTTATTTTCAGTCTGTTAATATTTAGAAAAGTGGTTAATATAAAGTGTAATCCCTCTTTAAATGTATAGCAACAGATCATAAATAAAAATTGGTTATGTTATTTATTGTATGAGATTTGAGATTGAAATGGACATTATATGGCAAATTTTAAAAGGAATTTATGTTTTTAAAACATGTTTATGTTATGTGAAGTGAAAAAAAAGGTATTTTCACTTTTCAATGAGAAGCGTGAAATGCCATGGTCATAGCGCTTCTGCAGAACGCGGGAAAAACATCACAGAAAATTTAACCTAATCCAAAACATCTAAATCAAGATGAAGTAATAAGAACTTTCATAAATTTTGGTGGCATTTTGGTACATTTTGATGTTAATTTTAGTCTCGAGCATGCTAGATGTAATTTTGACTTTATAGTAGTTACATGTTAGTTTTAAACAACACAATACCATAAAGCATATTTATGGCCTACCTGTTAATCTTATCATAGTGTAGGAAGAACTTTTATGATCTTCTTTACAGTTCTACAACTTGTTATCATGGCATAAAATCGTAAAGGTATTTGTTTTCACTGGGATTTTAAGCTTTGTGAGATAATAAATTTTATGAGCCATACTTCAAAAACTCGATTGAATGAAATAAAGACATTGCTTTGCAAAGCTCAGGTTAGATTTTCGAACACTTTGCTGACCATCAAAGTAGATTTCATAGCAACTAACATAGAGATCAATACAAATATAAGATAAGACATATTATTGTCTTACAAGAATAATTTTTTGCTCACATATAAAACGTTTCATGGTGCAAATTTCAAGAACCAGGACCTATTTACAGTTCAAACAAAGAGACTAGGCAAATGACCAGACTAGAGTAGTCTGAGAAGGGGTTTTGATTTGAAAACTTTCCGGCCAACGCTGCTGGGGAAGTAGGTTATCTTACTGTCTTGTTAGCAAGTCATCATACATAACAGAACAGCTGGTAGTGACGGAGCTAAGCATCTAGATATCCGAAACGGCACACGGAAGATTTCTCAGGTGCCGTTTGACGTCACTAACTGCTGACGTCACTTTGAGGGAACACCAATACCGCAACGATATGGTTCTGAGCCATCGGCTTCGGCGGTGCAGTGGGTAGCGTTGCGGGTTGATAAACCGAATGTTCTGGGTTCGATTCTCGCCGGTGGCATTAACTTTTTATCAACAATTTTTTCATATCAGCAAGTTTGGTTGGTTTGGTTAGGTTATGACAGTTTAATTTTATAATTAAAAAATTATAAAATTGAATTTTAGGCAATTATAATTTTATTTTATGAACAAAACTATTTTTTAGATTAGTAAACCTTTATTTGATTTTTCCATTATCAGCACGTTTGGTTAGTTTGGTTAGGTTATGACAGTTTAATTTAATAATAGAAAATTATAAAATTGTCTGTTTCTTCAGACGCAGCAGTTAGTGACGTCTGCAGTTAGTGACGTCAAACGGCACCTGAGAAATCTTCCGTGTGCCCCACGGTCTAGATATCTAGGTTATTTTTTACAACTATGCGTAGAATATGCCAACCCAATCCTGCCAAAATTCAAGTAATTCATAACTAATTACTTCAATAGCCTAGTAACATTGACTAAAGATAGTATACATTCCGTTCTCATGTTTAGGTGTTACCAGTCTGAAAATTAAATGAAAACAGTTTAATTGGACCACTGCCATAGTAAGCTAATCTGAATTACTGATTTATGTCCAATACGCCAATAGTTGAAACCAGCCATACAGAAAGGACAACTTAACTGTAAACTACTGTAATGTTATACATCACATTAACTAACAAAGTAACAAAAATATAACTACTGGTTGTAGCCAAATCCAAAACTACCTCAATAGACTGTTTTTGTTTTTATAAAAAAATGGCTAATGCTGGTCCAAGATGCTAGTTTACATATTGAGCTACTGAGCTACTAACGTCTTGCTTGGTGTTGCCGTACAACATGTCCCCGATGGCCATGAAGGCAATGCTGTCGTGAGGACTGTTCTCCAGATGACTCAAACACTCCAGTCTGTGACGGTTGACGACAGTTGACAACCGCTTCATGTCTATTGGCTCCTGTCCACTCACTATCTTCTCCAGCACCTATAATGAACACAAGGTGTCAACCACGTATAGATTAACGTTTTTAGAGGATGCATAGTTTGAAATGGTCAACATTACTTTTCTTTATAAATAATAATGAGTTTATTCATACTATGAAAATTTGTTCTTCTAAATTAGAATGAGTTACATGGTGTAACTATGAATTAGTTTTTGTCCGACGATTATTGGATATTAGTTTTCCAATCTCAATTGAACAACAGAATGATGCATAACTGTAAAATGTCAGGAAAAGTCAAGGAAGGACAAAATAACTTGGGTGACAGTTTAAATTCACTGCAACAAATTGACAAAGATGTTGTTGTTCAATTTTATTAAATTAGCCTACATAAATATTGTACACTTTACATTGATACAACATCTACTTAAAATTAATACTTAATTTAAAATCACTGTTTTAAGATTGGGACTAAAATGAATGAAGTATGAGAGTTTTGGAACTTACCTGCATAAGCCGATCCTTCACCGCACCAATCTTAGCAACTGGAACGTTTTCAAATTGTAGCATCAAAACGGATTCAGAGTTTTCTACCAGCGAGTATGAAACCTGCAGAAAGCAAACAAAATTTAAATTTGTTACATTTAAATTAAAGTGGTAGTTATAGCGAATTTCCCATATAGGGAAAACACTATTACTGTAGGTCTCATAAAAAGACCTAGACCCGGGATCGATTAACTTTTTTGTTTTGATGTCCCCAGAGGCCATGAAACCAAAACACCACAATCCGCTCAGAATCATATATATTATGTGTCCGTTATCTAAAAGCAGTTAATGTAATGTAGGAGAGCAAAGGATACCACATTCATTGTGAATCGAACAATACCAGATGAGTCATCACTCAGGACACTGGCCCAGATAGAGGCGAGGTGACAGGTGATGCACGCACTCCGGTCAAAGACCTGACCTTGGCCTAGTTGGAGGGAATTTGGCAGGCGAAAATATGACTCATCTGGTATCATTCGATTCATAACAAAACGAGGAAAGTCCTACAAACATATTTATGACAACCTAACCAAACATAGCTGCCACAGCGTGCTGTATGAGGGTGGCCACCGTATAATACGAAAGTACCCTAAAACAATTTACCTTGCTGCAATATGGATCGGAGATCTCCACAAACTCTTTGGGTAGCGGGCTGACTGAAGTGTCTGTCATGTACTTCATCAACACTGAACATGCAGCCAATCTAGGAAAAAAGTAGAATTGATCAACAAGTACAACTACTAATACAAACTCATGTCTTCAAAACAATTACCAGGCCAATTGCCAGTAATTCAGAAACATTTGTTATTACTTGATAGAAATATGAAAGCAAATTAATAAGATAAGAAAGAGGACTTTAGAGTTAAACACATTTTAAAGTATAATCTTTGGGAAAATGTATGGGCTAATCCTAGAAATAAGGAGATTGGAAAGGAAAACACAACATAGATGGCCTATGGCATACTGAAAGAAATTTAAACTAATAAAGATGTAGTCTTCAAAGTGAAGCCTCACTTGTATAGATCAGTGACAGCAGAAGGTCCCCGCCAGCCAACATAGACCATCCCATTGTCCTCTTCATCACAGGGAAACTTGACTTCAATGTCGGCAGACTCTTTCAACGGAGGCACAGGGTCCTGCCACGGCCGCTTGAATTGCTCTCTTGTACCCTGACAAACATAACCTTCCTTACAAACCCTCCAATACACTACAGAACTTCACAATAGGTGTTACGGTAAAATTTAGGAATAAAAAAAACTTTATTGCAGCCATTGCATCTTTAGTTAGATTTGATCAAATTTGAAATGAAATGGTTAAAAAAATTATCAGCAATCAATGAAATTTACGATTTAACTATTTGGTTATACAGTAGAGTCCCGCAAACTCGGCTCTCGATAACCCGGCAGTCTGGATAACTCGGCCATCACCTGGCTCAGAAAATTAGTGATTTTTTGAGTCCATGTTAAAAATGGACTCAAGCCAGCTCAAGCAAATCATTCGCAACTCATACCAAGGATTTGTTGTACTATATCTGATGACTTAATACTGACTTGTAATATAAATATAAATAAAAAAGGCGGTTAAAAAGCTTAAAAAATTGTATTTTTCTTATTTTAAACCCTTGTTCCTGATAACCCGGCATTTCACAAACTCGGCATCCCTTCCAGTCCACATTACGCCGAGTTTGCGGGACTCTACTGTATTTAAGTAATATTGCAAAAAGGTGTCTATACTAGCAGCAAAATCCGGCTTTGCCTGTGTAAAATGATACAATTTACAATAAGTGGTTGTATAATTAATTTTTTCTGTTTTCATAGATGAACACATATCTTAGTACCTACTATTACATCTAGAAATATGTTAAATATTCTTTGTAACACATTTCCTTAAATTGCAACTAAAATATTAACAGCAATTAAACTATCCAGCTTCGGATCATAATGTAAACAAATATGTTGTTCATAAGGATAACATGGGATGTTTTAAAGCCACTGGGGTAGAGCCCAAGGGGATTTTTCCAAAATGTAAGGTCAGTTTGCAAATCTTCACACCTAGACGAAAATTTTGGTATGTGGGGTTGAATCTTAAAACAAAAAAGCTTTATTGTAAGTTTCATGTAGCGTATTAATAAAAATAATAAAATAGATTTACTGTTATGCCTAAATTTATTAAAAGCCATTAAACATTTCAATGCTCTGGATAACTCGACAACCTCTGGGTCCAAAATTGGTTTTACTTAACAACAAATAATTACCAACCTTGGAAGCGATTTTTTGCTCAAAAGGCTCTAGAGTTTTGAACAGGTCTTCTGGCTTCACTTGTCCAGTGATAATCAACGTAAGGTTTTCTGGTCGGTAGAACTCTTTGTGGTACGCTCGCACCTGTAGTATAACCAAATATTTAACATTCTAAACCACAGAATTGAACATACCGAAAGTAGGCTAGCTGATACAAGACTAATCATCTGTCAAGCTATTTTTGGTTGATTTTTAAAGTTTTTAAATATTAATATACTTTTGTTGTGGCAGTAACGTATCAAAACTACGCAAGTCATTTCACTCAACCAAAACTCTGTTTTATTATAATTTGTGTAATATAAAACTATAAAAAAATATAATGTGTTGCTATAATATAAATAGAATATTAACCCTCCGAGTGTCCATAGTTTAGGCCTTAATGTCCACCTATTTTTGGCCCCTTTGCAAGGTTTTATTAAAACGGATCTGAGAAGCTTAAAACAATGTTAATTCTAATGTTCTATATACCATTTTGTTTGGAAAATCATGGGCTTCAATATTATATATAAAACATAAGGAACATTTTTTCAAAAAAAAATTTTTAGGTAAAAAAAAATATAATTTCGAAAATTTTCAAAAAAAAAAATAAGTTCGCGCTCAATGAAATTGTATAAATTATAGGCCTATAAATATTTGAAAATAGCCACTTTGTTCTAAATTTAATGAGGATTACAAATATATAATCATATAGCGAGGTAAGTTATCAAATAAATAAGTTATGAGCGAAAATGGATTTCAGTACATAGCGTTTAGCTAAGAATGCATAGCCTAACCATAGCTAGGAATCTGGCTGATAATTTACATCAATATCACTACCTACTTCTTCAGGATCATCAACCAGCACTTCAAAACCACTTAAATCTTCTTATAATGCACCACGTATATCACTACTTTTGATTTTTAACACTAAAACAATGATAAACGTAATAAAACACATCAGTCATCGGTCCGGGGGAACCTAGCTGTTTACAAATACACGCACGTCAGCTGTCTGCTACAATATTTTCGGAACTAAAATGAATAGCGCTTAGAGACAGACCTCTGGAGAAAGCTTAGAATATTACGGAAAGAACGATACCTAACTCGATCCAGTTCAATCCGATTCAGTCAGTCATAGAGCCTTCGCCGTAAACGATGTTTGTGCGTCTTAAACTCGACGCGTGACCCTACACAAAGTGTGTTGTGCGTCTATTTTTTGACGCGTGACCCTCGGAGGGTTAAACTATAACTTTTAGTCCTCATATAGAACTAGCCACAAAATTAAATTGGTCAGATTAAGTTGTTGAATCCTGATTAGATACACAGACCACAGGTCTACATTGGTTGTGGTTTTCACATCCTTTATTCATTTTATCGCAATATTTTGGATTCTCTTAAGCTTAAGCACAAATATACACAATTAAAACGTCATTAAAAATTACGTCATTATAACCACAATAGAAAATTTAATTTGATCTATTCTCTAACTGTACCTTCTACATTATACAAGTATCAACAGCTGGCAATTCTCTCCAAAATTGACAATAATCACAGTTATTATGTTATTAATTTCCACTAGCTCAACACCTTATGAGTACATTACAGTGATGATGGTGTCCAGCAAGGCATGAACAAAAATTAAAGGACATTCTTTTTTATTGTTCTGTTACCACAGGCCCAACGGCCAAATAACAAGAATTCTAGAAATTTAAATGCAAATTTTGAAGTAGGTAGGCTACAATTTATATGAATTCAATGTATAATTTTTACAGTAAAATGTTATCATATCTATTTTTTTTGTGCAGTGATTGTTGCAGCATCCAAACAATTTCCTCAGTCTGTACCGATTCGTCGTATAAACAACGAATTAACGTGTAGCAGACGCAACAAATAGTCAGCTGATCACATACCACCCACAATTCTATCTAACCACACAAAGTGGAAGGGGTAGACCCAAGCTGCCAGCAACGAGTCTGTCTGTTCCTCCCTTGTCTCCAGTGTAGCTAGTCGGTAAAACTTTCGTATCGTGCAAATTATTAAATTCATTTCGCGGTGTTGGGTTGGTCGGATAAATCTTTATTTTCTTAAAATCGTTTAGCCTATATCCCGAAGGGATTTAATTGCAACGCGAGTGGAAAATAGAATCAGTTTTGTTTGTGAAACAAGTTGAAAAAGTTTGTTTTTGCCGATCAACACAATCCGCCATTTGAAAATTTCACGTTTCATCACACGAATCAAATCGATCGCGTTTCTTTCAATAAACCGTCTAGTTACAATTCCCCATCCCTATCCCTGTATGTGTATCAGTGTTTTTGTGGACGTCCGAAATCTGTAAGTAATTTGTATTATTTATTGTTATATATTAGTTTCAGCGAGTCGCACATGTGGTAAATTTCCTGTTGTATTTTGTTAGTACCTGTTACATAAGCACATGTTTCCAGGTTCGATCTCAATTTGATGATTTTTCATATCCATTCATAGCGTAACAATCTGTCTTATTTATTAAGCTGTGATAATCTAATAGTATTATAATTTATTTTTGTAAAAAAATACAACCAACTTCAAACGCTCTAAAAAGAATGAAATAATTTCAATAAAGTAAAAACTTTTGTATTAGGCAAGCTCACGTATTTTAAGTCGGCGCGGCTCTATGATGATTTTTGATGCAAAATTGAAAGAGGTTGTCCATATTGCAGGTGACTATCTATAACTAAAGGTGTTAATCTGCATGTCTTTTTCATAGTTATGCGTTAAGTGTTATTTTATTACCGTAATCAGAGATCGGTATTATAGTGGTATTAACGAGTATCTTTAAAAAGATTATAACGCATTTAAATGTTTCTAACTTGGAAAAGTAACGTTTTAATACTAAACTAGCTTCTTTTCCCTATCATAATATCAAACTAAATTATTTTCCTATTCATATAGAACATTTGTGTGTGTTATTTTAATAATGCATTTATTCTGAAGTAAACATAAAATACAAGAAAATATTTCCTTTAATGTATAAACCATAAAACAGTTCAGTATGTTTTTTTTATATATTTATGTTATCCAGCTACAATTTATTGATTTTCAAAATACACACACATCAATCATATTTGCAGTTTGAGCCGCGCCGACTTGAAATACGTGAGCTTGCCTAATACAAAAGTTTTTACTTTATTGAAATTATTTCATTCTTTTTAGAGCGTTTGAAGTTGGTTGTATTTTTTTACAAAAATAAATTATTTCATGATTTTTAGTGACTGTATATTTTTTTATATATTAATTACATGAGGATTTTCGATAAGAAAAACTGTTTGAAACAATCAAAAGTTCCAGAGAACAATCATTATTTTAAAACTGCTTGAGTCACCTGTTCAGGTTACATAATCAATGGGTATGGAAATAAACATCTTTAGATATTCCTTAAGAAAGAAAGAGTTGTCCATTACATTAGGCCTAATGAAAAACTAATTGTCTTTTCTAGATACATTGAAATGTCAGACATCATCGTTTCCTGCAATCGGTGTACTTCTACATTATAAAAAGAAATACAGTAACGTCTCAAGCCTTTTGGAACAATATGAAAGTTATTCCTCAGCTACCAGCACTAAAAAATCTCTCAAAAGTGGAAAATTGGTCGTTAACACTATAGTACCTTTCGTATAGTACCTTTGGAAAATATTATATGAAAGATTGGTTCAACTAAAAGTGGTGTAAGTCATGTAGGGGGTTTTGTTTGCTCAAGATATAGCCTAGTCGAAATTGCAAATCATCTTCCTCTAGGACTTTCCGAAGCAGGCATAATAGTATTGATATGTTATAGTAACTGGGTAGAGAATATTAATAAACATTCCACATCTGCAAATGAAATATGTAGGCTATATGAAAGATTGGTTCAGCTAAAAGTGGTGCAAGCCATGTAGGTGGTTTTGTTTGATCAAGATATAGCCTAGTCGAAATTGCAAATCATCTTCCTCTAGGACTTTCTGAAGCAGGCATAATAGTATTGATATGATATAGTAACTGGGTAGAGAATATCAATAAACATTCCACATCTGCAAATGCATTAGGGGTGTGCGAATAGTGATTTTCAACCTCGAGCCGAGCCGAGCCGAGCTTTTTAAAAAATATTCGAGCTCGAGCTTTTTCGAGTCGAGCTTTTCCTAGCGTAGGCCTAACCTTATCTTAATTATTAAACTTTTTTTTTCTTAAAAAAGTGAATAATAATAATAATAATGTTCAGTCAATTTTTAAATAAACACAATGTTATTTTAATATGTTTAAAAACATTGAGAATTGTCAAGACATCAAATAGTAGATAATCACGATAAGAACTGAACTGAACTAAATGAAGATGCAAGAAATAAAAGGATATCGATTGAAGGCCTGAAGAGATATGCAGTGCAGACTGAGACAATCAGATTGTCTTTCATGACAGAACAGCAACGCGACCTTGAATGACGACAAAACAACTAGCAAGTCGATTACATATGTATATTGTAACTACTATGAATATTTAATTCTATTTTGTATAAATAAATTCAAAATAAATTTAAAAACACGTGATTATTCTTGTTGTTTTCCATGCACAAAATATTTTTGTTTAATGTAAAAATGGATTGTATGTTTAACAATAATTGCAGTCCATTATTGTTAAGCAGTATGGTCCCAAATTATTGTTTTTGATTTTAAAACATCACAGTTCATTTGACAAAATTATAGTTGAAGCAGCCCAATGGCTTGTGCAATAGTTTGTTTACAAGCTTTCTCCAGACCACGGGGGAGGGGTGGGTCTGATAAGCCGTCTATTGTTCACCCGCAAGAAGGTCCGACCCTCATTAGTGCCGCTCGGCTGCACTCAGTGGGGAACCCAATACAACAAATCAATCTTTTAAATGAATACAAATATTTGGTAATAATTGTTTTATTAATATTCACCTTGAAATTTCAATAAATTTGGTGTAAAATTTGACAAAAATCGGCCATTTTGACCGATTATTAATACAGTACCAAATACCAATAAAGTAGTACTTAATTGGTAGGTAAAAATTAACCGATTTTCGTCAAGTTTTACCCCATGCTGTGCGCTATGTCACAAAAGCTGATAACGACATGGG